TATTATGTTAAAAGCTGCTTGTGGGAATGGAGGCATCAGCAACCTGCCCTCTTTCCGCCCTTCTATTTCCCCAGTTATGCCTGGCTTGCCAACTTTGATGGCAGTTATCTTGATGCCATCTGGCCACTGACTTATTTGCCATCTCCCACTACTTGAAGTCATCTTGTCACTGTAAACACTGGCTTTTCCAGTGATAATCATATCATCCTTTTCTCTTGTGTAGCAGTTCCGGTGAGGAAGGTACAAAGAGGAATCAACAGCAGAACCAAAGTGGAACAAGAGAGGAACACACTTAAGGATTAGAGGACTCTTAAGATATGGTATAAATTGTTCCTTTTAGAGCAGTCATTGAATTTTATTCACAGTCAGCCTAGAATCTTTATTTTTCTCAATTAAAAATTGATCTATGATCCAACCCACCTCCCCAAATTGGATTGAGGTTTTTAACAGATCAATACCAGTGTCCCAAATAGTGTTTCCCATGTCTTATCTCATTCAATTCCACATTCTAAGGATTATTAGAAAGTACTCACATGGAGTGGGAAAACTTTTACCTTTTACTTCATTAACTCCTAAGCCATTTGAATTTTTTTTACATCACTGTGTCATTTAGAATAAAAAATTCCATTTCCTACTGAGCTAAGTATAAACTTGTCACCTTGGCCCTCAAGGTATTGACAAATATGGTCCTGGTCTCCTTTTCAATTTTATTATTTTTTTAATTTATTGATTTTTTTACAGAGAGGAAGAGAGAGGGATACAGTGTTAGAAACATCAATGAGAGAGAATCATCGATCAGCTGCCTCTTGCACACCCTCTACTGGGGATGTGCCCGCAACCAAGGTACATGCCCCTGACAGGAATCGAACCTGGGACCTTTCAGTCCGCAGGCCTACACTCTCTCCACTGAGCCAAACCGGTTTCGGCTCCTTTTCAATTTTAATCCCTTACTTCCCTAAGTGTACTGTTGTCTTATATACTCTTAGCAAACTATCCCACAGAACTCTTTAACCACTTAACTGATAACACACTAGCAAAGCTATTCTCCAATATCATGGGAGCAACCCTTCAGTTCTCCCTCTTAGTGAAATTGTGTGCTAATAAAAGGTATCAGTTGTGTTTGTTCAAAAACAACTTATGCCAGTCTGCTAATTATTGTAAATATATAATTTAACGAAGTATTGTGTAAAGCAATGAAGTATAGATGAGAAGAGAAAAACAATAGCAGCAGCTAAAATTAATTGGTTACTACCTGCCAATAAGTGCACTGTTCTAAGTGCTTATGTATTAACTCAGATAATCTTCAAAGGAACCCTAAGAACAGATACTATTATTGTCCCTGATTTGAAAGGAGGAAACTGAGCAACTTTCCCAAGACCTATACAACTAATAAATGGCAAATAATTTGGCTCCAGAGCTTAAGAATCTAGTAGTAGTTGTTTCTATGAAAACAAAGTTGAAAGCTTTGGGAAGACTAGGTGAAGGTGATACACACAACCACTCAACTTTACTTGTATGTGAAAGTAGCCATAGATAACATGTAAAGAAATGAGCCTGGCTGTGTTCCAATAAAACTTTATTTACAGAAACAGGCAGCAGGCTAGGATAAGATTTGGCCCTCACACTGTAATTTGCAGATCCCTGAACCTACATTCCAAGAAAAGGTTTATGTTAAAAGAATGGCAAAATATGTTTATGTTTTAAGTTAAGTAAAATGTTTAAAGTCTGTGTGTAACTAATATCTGTATGATTCCCTGCTTTAACTTACTTTTTCAGTTAACTAACTACTGACCCTAATTGCATCAGATAAAAAGGCAATTCTTAACTTATAAGACATTTTTGCCTACTTTCCTGCCTTCTTGCTTTTGCCAAAGCCACCCCTTCAATCTTGGAAGTATTATTTTCTCACTTCCACTTGGAATCCCACTCAACTTCAAGCCCATTATCTAAACCTACACCCTCCTCCAAACTAGACATGATCATTTCTTCCTTTGAGATTCAATGATTAATTTCTACCTATGGGACTTACTTTATGTCTTCTATTATGGCTATTTGTATACTTCCATTATCCCCACTACTCAACTATTAGTGACTAACTCATTTTCCTATCTTAGGCAATATCCAGCACATAGCAGGTTTTCAGATATTTCCTGAATTGTGTTCTAACATTCTTTTGTTTTTAGTGACTGGACAGAAAGAACATGCACAATACCAAACCCTCAAACCTATATTCAATTCATACACCTATTACCACACCTATGACTTAACTTTGTTGTAACTTTAAACTATTAATTTTAAAATGCATTCACCCGTACACATTAGTATGGGTGTAGCTGTATATAAAAATTGTCATCTCCGTAGCAAAATTTCTGGTTTTGAAAGTAATTGTTAAAACTGCTGCTTCCTGGCTAATCTTTAAGGGGTCGATATATTTTACAAAACATGTAAAAGCTGTATGCAAACAAAATTCTTAATTCAAACTTGAGATCAAGAGTGTGCCTTAGCTCACCTTTGCAGTACTTAATAGATGTCTGGATCTAAACCACTCCTTTTATTTACAAAGTGCTTAGGGATCCTGGCCCAAGCGCAGAGTGAGTTAGAAAGGCTTGGGGTAGGAATGCAAATTTCCCTATTCCTAGTTTAATATTCTAATTCAGAATATTAAAATATGTAAATTAGAATGTTAAAAGAATGGCAAAACCTGTTTATGTGCACCCAACCCTGAAGTTCAGACTACGGAAGCCTCACCACTATCTTCCATTTCCTTATACTGCCAATCAGAACCAGCTGTTGTTTTCCCAGTGACCTGGGACAGGCATATGTGTGGTGTTCCAATCACCAAAAAAGGCTGGTCCAGATTTTAGGATTCTTACCAATCTAAAAACACCCCACTCAAGAATGCTCGATAAACAGATGATCCCTCAGTGTTTTTTAAAAGCATTATGCAGATGTTTTAGTGTTAAAATGACAATGACCAGCACTGAGGAGAGAGGTTAAAAAGAGCTATGTTACTTAGGCAGTTCATTCTCTTATTTTCTGAGGAGTAAGCAACTTCACATTCTAAACAGAGCTACTACAAAACAGGGTTCCTGTTCTAGTGCTTAGATACCAGTTGCATCACTGCTTTAACCATCTTAAGCTGTAAAGTAAACACAGGAAGTAGACAACAGCCCTATCCTTAGTTCAACAGAGTAATACTTTACCAACAAAAAGTAGAGTTACATATAATATTTCTAGCTACCGTATTCCCCTCTCCCCAACTTTAAACAATAGTCAAATCATCTTTAACTAACAACAGACTAAGCAACCCTGACAGTTCACAGATAGTACAGCATTTTTATTTTTTTTTCTGGAAGCTACCTATGAAAGGCAAGAGCCATTGCTGGGCTCTCTGGGTCCCACGGGGGAAAAAAGACCCTAAGAGAGTAAATTAAGGAATAAGGGAACAAGGATAAATTCCATTACTTAACCTAACAAAGAATTAATAAGAATTCATTACGGGCAAGAAAGCATTAGTGCTCTGTTGACACAAAGAGACATCAAGATGAATAAAAAACGATCCCTGTCCTTGAGAAGCTTACAATTTAGAAGTACACGAATAACAACAAAAAGCATAACAAGGGAAGTGCCGAGAGGTTCTCGGTTCTCAGGGAGGGAAATGCCAATCATTTCACTTCAATTTCATGCTAACAGATTAAAGCATCCGGGTAGGGGACACCTGTTGTACTCATCTGACTGAGAGAAGCTGGAGTGCAATTCCAGCGAGATCTATGGAAATGGACGCTTCAGTGGGACATTACTTGCTTTATCCACCCCTTGGCTAAGGAAGGCCTATCTATAATACAAGTTGTACCAAAGAAATATAAGAAACAGAGAGGGTGCGAACGGGGGGCAGAGAAGTCGGCATGGACTGATGCAGCCTTAAGTCTGTGACAGGAAGACTGAGCAAAAACCCAGGCGGCTGGAGCAGGAGATTTTCAGCTTCCAACGTTTCCTCCTGTCCACTCACCTGCACAGGCGGACTCTAGAGAGGGGACCTTTCCCAAGAGGTAAGCACAGGCCAGCAATAAGCACTCCGGGAGGGCGCACAGTGCTGAAGGGCTGATAAGGTACTTGCAACAGCTCCTTAGCTCCTGCATCCAGAGGCCAGGGATCCAGCCCCAGCCTGCCCTTTACTCTGGGTGACCTCGGACTAGTCGAGTATTTAGTTCCTTCTTTTCCCTACCTGTACATTCTGGGTTGATGAGAATGGGACGGAATTCGGTGACCTCTGGAGTCTAAAAGCTTCTTGCCAGTCGGCACACGGAAGCTTTGGACAAATGGTCCGTCGAATAAATAAGCGAGGTCGGCCACGGGGTACAAAAGGTAGGGGCGCCAGGCCCGTTTTGTAGAAGGGGAAACTGAGGCACCGAACATCTTGCCTCAAGGTCACTCCAGCTAAGTCACTGCTGGTGCCCGGCCGAAAGCGGAGACCTCCAGACTGCCGATCCCGGGCCCTTTTTCTTTCGCCCGAGCAGAGCAAACTGGCGCGGAGAGTCCAGGTCCCCGAGGGGAAAGGGCTGTGCTCGTGCCAAGGCGGAGAGAGGGGCGAAGCAGGCCTTACCTTCCCAGATCGAGTCCCGCCACCGGCGCCTCCCTTTCAGAACCTTAACCTGTCGTCCCGTCACGACTCCTCATCAACCCCCGCCACTAGTGACCGCCTCGACGTGTCCCCGATCGACACCGAGGCCGCCAATCCCCGCCCCCGCCCCGCCCCCTGCCTCATTGGCCAATCGCTGCGCAGGACGTCGGCACGGGCGCGGATTTCGTAGCCTCGGGAAGCCGGAGAAGCCTGACGTCACGCAGCGCGCGTGCCTCCTGGGTCCTCCCACGAGTCCTTTGCCCCGCCTCCTCCGTCAGGCCGTAAAGCAGCACGCCTCCGCGGCCTTTCACGACGTCGGCGGCTAAAGGCCTTGGAAACGCTCCGGCTTCCTCCCGGCCGCCGGGCGAAAGGCAGCGCGATGTTCGGTGCGGGCGACGAAGACGACGCCGACTTCCTCTCGCCTAGCGGCGGGTGAGTGTGAGTGGCTGGTGAAGCGTGGAGCCGAAGGCGTGGCTGAGGAAGCCGGGCTCATGGTTGGAGGGGTCGCTCTCTTTTCAGACCTCTTCCCAACTTCCGGGTCCAGTCCCGTGCCCCTTGCCGGTGCTCGGCTGACAGGTCTTAGAATTCCGGCAGAGCTCGGAACCGCTGAGTCTGTCCCCCTGCATTCTGGGCCTGCCGTCTCCCCACGACACGCAGTGTGACTCTGGGGTTCGCCGTTTGCTTTCTGGGCCACAGCTTCCCCTGTGAAACGCGGGCGATTGCTGATGAGACTGCCTGCCTCGAGAGTTTTTAGAGTCAACTTGGGGCCAATATGAGACTTTCTCTTCTGGGGCGGGGAGACAAGGTGGTGATACTTAAGAATTAGCCTTGGTGAGTCAGCTTCAGCATCCTTCAAGGATGTCCCCTTTTTGGGTACTTGCTCTTTTCCCACCACCCCAGTCAGAAAAAAAAAAAAAATTGCTTTCTCTTCCTTATTCCCACAGCTAGGCGTGATTATTATCTCTGTTCTTGCACACCGAACCTACTGGATTATGAGTCCTGACAGGACAGAGATCTGTAGGGAGCCCTGTGCTCAGAACAGGACATAGTGAGTGCTCAGGAAGTGCCTGATGAATGAATAATAGTTACGAAATTGCACTCTAAAGCTTAAAGCCAACCTAAGAGACTGCCGTCGCTATTCCCTGTCTCCAATTATTTTTTTAAATATATTTTATTGATTTTTCACAGAGAGGAAGAGAGAGGGATAGAGAGTTAGAAACATCGATGAGAGAGAAACATCGACCAGCCGCCTCCTGCACACCCCCCACTGGGGATGTGCCCGCAACCAAGGTACATGCCCTTGACCGGAATTGAACCCAAGACCTTTCGTCCACGGGCGGACGCTCTATCCATTGAGCCAAACCGGTTTTGGCTCCTGTCTCCCAATTATTGAACATACTGGTCTGGGGTACAGTTTTTCAAGCGGCAGCTCTTACTGTCTCCTCCAGTAATCAGTGTAGCCATTTCCCTTGCTTTGTGTCAGTAGACAGCTTGGCCCTCTTTAAAGTTGTGAGCTAACAAGTTCTAATACTTGCAGAACTTTTCTTTGAACATTTGAAGAATGATGAATACAGCAAATTATACCCCTTATTCCACTGAATGCTAAGAGGTTGCAAAGATGATCAAGTCTGTCCTCAAGCTGCTTCCACTCTTGGTAGAGACTCAGTACATAAAATGACACTGCCTTTCTTTTGACTTACACGATGACTAGCTAGCTATACTACCTATCCTTAGTCCTTTAACTACCCCCATTTTAGGTGGCCTTGATCCTCTAGTTCCACTTTGGGTTCTTTCATTTCTCAGTTGTTTTAGAGTCAAGCTGTGCTTTGATTCATTCCCCCCACTCCCCCTATTTAACCTGGAGCATTCATGAAAATGTCCACACAATCCAGGGAGCTGCTGGATTAATGTTTGTTTGTTTTTTTCATACAAACCTGTTTTGTACATGGCTGTGCCATGTGAAAGTTTACAAAATATACTTGAAAGTCACATTCTTCCCCAGGTGAAAGTATTTGGGGATGCCTGTAAGTGAGTGTTAGAGCTTTTGATTTTCATGCAACAAGCAGTCCGCTGCTGTCTGAAACTTGCAGGGTGAAAACGACAGTCATGCGCTCTTTTCCAAATTCCTGCCCTGAGGTCAGTTCTTGGTGGCTCAGCGAGGCTGCTTTCCTGAGCAGGCTCATTCGACCTGAAGCGCTTTAGTTCGAGGCATGTGGCTGTGCTCTTAAACATAGACAACAGAGCTAATTGAATGGTAGAAGGCTTAGTAAACAAAGTTATACAGATACATTATTTTTGTTCCCAGTAATAACCAGAAAAACCAAATCAGATTTAAGATTGAGGATATAGGAAGTTTCAACAATATTCTCTGATTCAGCTATTCCATCTTTGATTTCTCTAAGGAAGTAGGACATATGACAGCAGCACTTCCTGTTTTATAACTTGAATATACTTGCTTATTAATTTTTAAGTATCTTGACTTAAGTATATGACTTACTTGATTCCATTGAGAAGATACAAGCCTGATAGAAAAGGGAGTATTAGTGTCTAAGATGGCTATCTAGATGATTGATGTGTTCCAAGTTTCCAGGCCTCTTCAAGTCCATGGTTAACTTAGAAGTAGTAATCAGGAAGTTTGTGTTTTTGGAGGGCTTAGCTCTTTCCTCACCATTGTGACTTTGAAATGAAGAAATATGTCAATGCCTGCTAATTATATTGTACTTGGCTTCCACAGCAGATAGGAATAAGGCAAAGTTCTTGCCCCTTAAGAAACTCCTAGTTTAGTAGTAAAATCAATCCAGTAATAGCAATCACAAAGTACTCTAAGGGGCTAATTATGTATATAAATATGTTTTAGATTATATAAAAGACTAGTGGCCCTGTGTATGAAATTCATGCGAGGGGTGATATCCCTTAGCTCGGCCTGCATCCTCTCCAACCTGGGACATCCCTCTTCCAATCTGGAATCGCTGGCTTCTAACCGCTCACCTGCCTGCCTGCCTGATTGCCCCTAATCACTCTGCCTGCCGGCCTAATCAACCCCAACTAACCCTTTTCTGACAAGATCACCTATAACTGCTCGCCCCTGCGAGACTGAGCATCCTCAATGGTTCCCACTCCTGCCAGCCTGTTCCTCCCCAACTGTCCCCGCCCCCGCCCCTCTTGGCCTGCTTGATCCCAACTGCCCTCCCCTGCCGGCCTGCTCAGCCCCTAATTGCCTCTGCCTCGGCCTGCCACTATGGCTTTTGTCCAGAAGAACATCTGGAAGGTCTCCCCATCTAATTAGCATATTACCCTTTTATTAGTATAGATATGTGAAGGTAAATTTGATTATTTTATAGTAATGATCACCAGTATAAAGGTAGAAAAAGGTAAGTTTGGAACTGATCATCAAGAAGTATTTTTAACTTAAAAGACTCAGAAAAGCCTAGATTCTAATGCTGATTCTGCCCTAATTAGGAGTGTGACCTTAGTTCGTTTCTCATCCTTGCTCTCCATACCCTAACCTGTTAAGTTATGGGGTTTTCCCCAGATGATCTTTGAGACCTTTCTCAATTCTAAAGTTTTGTATTCTTATTAATATCAGTTTATAGTTGCAGGCCAGTTTATGCATAGATTGAGCGTGGTTTCTTCTCTATAGGAGTATCTGAGTTGAATCCACATTTTAAGGTAATAGGATGTATGCACATGTATAATATATAAAATAATATATGGTGTACTTAATGCCAGACGCTGTACGTCCTTCTAAGTAATACATTTATATTATCATATTTACTTCTCTCTACTATTCTTTGGGGTAGTTTTTACTATTATAGCCATTTTACATATGGACATATAAGTATCAGAGAGGTAAGTTGCCCAACGCCACACAGCTAAAAAGTAAAAGAGCAAAGAAGTGCTTTAACAACAAAAAGAACCCTATTTATTAAAATAGATTGATGTAACATAAATGCATGTGTTACTTATTTTGATAAGAAAAGGAGTATAAAACTAAGGTTAGATAAAGACTTTGACAACTAAGTGCACTGGGTAACATTTTTTAAAATGTAATTAATATTGTAATGATTTTTCCCATGAATTGTAAACAAAGAGACTCGAGTTCAAAGTTAGCAACCCCCCTATTGGGGATCGAGTCTGAAACATGGGCATGTGCCCTGACCAGAAATCAGACCCCCTACCTCCTGGTTCATGGGTTGACACTCAATCACTGAGCCATACTGGCCAGGGCTCCATTGATTTTTAGAGAGAGTGAGAAGGAGGAAGAGAAGCATTGATGTAAGAGAGACACGTCGCCAGGACCGGTTTGGCTCAGTGGATAGAGCGTCAGCCTGAGGACTGAAAGGTCCCGGGTTCGATTCCAGTCAAGGACATGTACCTTGGTTGCGGGCACATCCCCAGTAGGGAGTGTGCAAGAGGCAGCTGATCAATGATTCTCTCTCATTGATGTTTCTAACTCTTTATCCCTCTCTCTTCCTCTCTGTGAAAAATCAATAAAATATATATTAAAAGAGAGAGAGACAGAGACAGAGAGAGAGACAGACATCGACTGGTTGCCTCCCAAATACACCTGGACTGTGGCCAGGGATTGAACTTGCAACCAAGGTCCATGTCCTTGACCAGGAATTGAACCTGCAACCCTTCAGTTCAGGGCCCAATGCTCTAATCGCTGAGCAAAACTGTCTAGGGCAGCAAGCCCATTCTTGCTAACATAGATATGTACATGTGAGAATACTTTAGAAGTAGAAAAATGCAATGATTTATAAGACGCTTATGTATTGTTTATTTTAAAATATTAATAGAAAATGGAATTAACCTGGGAAATAATTGGGTTGACCTGGCCCTGGGATTGATTTTGCAATCATTAATTAGCTGGCCTTTAGAACCTCTGTGGAAATATTGTTTGCCTATGACACTTGTTTTTTCTCATGAAAAAAATATTCCTGCAAAATAAAAATAGCAAATCCAATACACAGTTTACTGAAGCTAACCAGGGCATTCTTATTGACTAACTACCCATGTATAAGCTATTATATCTTAACTAGGATCTAAACTTTGTAAATTGTTCACTCTGTTAAAGGCATTGCCCAGCTCTTTCAGAGCCTTATTCTTTTAGGGAATCTGCCCAGATTGCCCTGGCTAAAAGGAGAAATCTTGGTTTCTCCTAAATTTTATTAGCATTTGTTGTTACTTATTTAGGCTAGTACTGCTCACCACACTTACAATCACATTTAAACCTCAGTCCTTTTAAGTAAGCGTTGTTGGCCCCATTTATAGGAAACTGAAAGGAAGCTAATAGTACACTACCTTGAGAAAACAAGGTAATAGTTTCAAATCATATTACACTTATTTTGCAAATTGCTGGTATATTTTAATATATTAAAATTGTTGGGAAGTTTTAATATTTACTTCACAAGTTTTAATATTTACTTTACCTAAACTAAGGATGATTTTGGAGGAAAGGAGCTCAGAGATAGACTAGACTATGAGTTCATTTATTGAGCCTGTTACATACAAGACGCTAAAGAAAATATACGGTCAAGTAGTGGTTAAAATAAAATCCGTTACCCTGTTATATGGTAAATGATTAAATAACTTTCATTAATCTCTGTGAAGCATAACTCCATACAATAGCTACCTGTTATGTATTTTACTAGAGGCCCAATGCACGAAATTCGTGCAAGAGTAGGCCTTCCTTCCCTTGGCTGCCTGTACCAGCTTCTCTCTGGCACCCGGGACCCAAGCTTCCCTCACAGCCCCGGGTTCATATGGAAGGTAGTCCAGACTAATTAGCATTTTACACTTTTATTATTATAGATAGTTTGCAATTATATATTATGTAATTCCCCTATATATACTCCCTGTATAAGAATGTATAAGCTCCTTGAAAATAGAACCCAGTTTTGCTCACCAGTGTATACCCAGCTCTCAGTACAGTGTCTGGCACAGATTTCTTGAATGAATTCTATAGGAGCTCTTAGGAAGACCACCTAACCTAGACTTTGAGATTAGAGCAGCTTCCAGGAGAAAGGGTGTGGTGTTTCTCCTTTTTCCACAACGACAGGTTCCTGAGGGGAGGAGCTGGGGATTAAGAAATTGGAGAAAGAAAGAGACAAGAGGCAGAAATAGATTCATAAAGCTGGGAGCTAGGTGGGTGCCATCTCTCTGATGGAGAGACAGTCACACTCACCACAGACAACACAGCATATTTATTGGCTTCCAAAGGGGAGTTTAAGGTCAAAAAGAGTTTCGGGTGTGCCCAGATCCAATTCATCACAATCTGGGTAAGCTCCTTATTTTTTTGGTACAGGATTTAGCATATCAAGACCTGGGTGAGTTAAGGTCCTATTTGTTCCTCATTCCAAGCACATGGTTTAAGAAATCAGTACTGATAATAGGATTCTGCCAGTGCCCTCGGGCTCAGCTGGTAAGAATTAAAAGAATGCCCATGTGCCTTCTCAGGCGGCTCTCTACAGAAAGGAGCAATGGGAAGAATGTTTCAGGCCGAAGGAACAACATGTCCAAAGGCTGGACAATAGAAAGATCTTGTCTTAAGAAACTAAAATGTGGCTGTAGCACACAGTTGGATTGGAGAAATAGCCAGATAGAAAGGTGGGGGAATAAGGAAAGGTAAGGTCTTGAAGGGCCTTGTAAAGTTGCCTGTGGAGTTTGGATTTTTTGTATTAATGAGGTGTCCTTGAAGATTTTAACGAGGAAAGAGTCAAATTTGTGTATTTGAAAGATTACTGTGGGTGCACAGGAAAGAATGGATAAGAAGCAGGTAAGCCGTAGGCTGAGAGATAAGTCAGAAAGTTGTAATAATTCTAGCTGGGTAGATGTGATTTATTTCACAACCTGAAATAGGGAAGTGGCAGTGAGAATGAGCAGAAGTGACTGGGTTCAAGAAAGGTTTAGCAAGTAAAATTAAATGGACTCTGGAATTGGTTATGAACACCAGGGGGAAAAGAATCAAGGATGATCCCCAGATTTTAGTTTGGTTGTGGGTGTTTGTAGAAATAAATAGTAAGTAATGGAGCCCTTTTCTGGAAACTGATGAAGGAAGGTCGCAGGGAAACTTCTGACCCATGTGAACTCCACTCTAAAACTCTACCCGCACTCTAAGTAGGCACTGCCCAAGTGTCTGGCGAGAAGGAAGAGCTGCTTCGCACTTCTTTCGCTTTGCTGGGTTACACGTATGGAGCCAGAGATTTTTTCCCAGCCAGATAAAATAGTAGACGTGAAATTGTTATCCTTAGAAAGTCCTGCTTACAAGGTTGGCACTTGGCTGACTTCTAGGAATTTTATTGGTAAACAGTTCCTCACCCTGATATAAAGTTTCCCATAAATGATAAGTATGTCTGCTTGCGTAAACTGTTTGCACAAACAATATGATTCATGAACCTTGTCTTCCTTATGGGATTCTAGAATTTTGGCACATGCCAGAGGGTTTTCATTTATCAATCCCTAGAGATTCAAAGCCCGGGAAATTAAGCCTCTTAAGTTTCTGGTAGACCACATTCACACATATTGTTACAACTCATTGCTGGAATAATTCAACGAATCCTGTGTTACTCCATCTGGAGAGGACTCGTGGAAGCTTGCTCCTGGTGTGCTCTGAACTTTGCCCCAGTGCTCTTTTTCCTTTTGCTGATGTTGCTGTGTATCCTTTTGTTGTAAAAGATCTTAGCCACGAATACAACTATATGCTGGTCTAGAACCTGGTGATGGTGTTGGGAACCCTGACACAAAATGTCATTGACCTAAAGAGGAAGCACAAAAGTAAAAACAGGATTTGCGAGGGCAGTGCGGATTGGAAGATATGAGTTCTGGTTTGGACATGTTATGTTGCATTTGTGTTGCCTGTGGGATACCGTGTTGTCTGATACTCAGCAGCAAATTCTGGGCTGAGGACATAGATTTGAGCATCATCAGCATTTGGATAGCACTTGATACCAAGGTAAATAAATTAGATTGGCAAGGGGGAGAGTATAAAATCTTGGGACATGGTCATTTAAAGGTTGCGCAGTGGAGAAAGAGTCCGAGAAGTTAGGTGAGGATCCAGAGAGAGGGGAAGGTGAGAAAGGGATCCCTTTAGTTTTAGTGAGGTCTTATTTGGGCTAATCCCTCTTCCCAACCCACAGGTTTCCCCACAGAAGTGAAGGGAAGATTTTGTTTGAAGAACATAATAGTTGACAGTGTAAAAAGGCGACATGAAGGCCAAATTAGACAAAGACTGGTAAATTATGTTTAATAACAAAGATGTTGGTGACCTTAGCAAGAGTAGTTTTAGTGGAATGGTTAGGGCAGAAGATTAGATTGCAAGGAATAATGAAAAAATAGTTCTGCCTGTTAGATAAAATGGCAGATGGGACCATGTTTGATGGACTAACTTTGTAGTACAGTTCAATTTACTTCATTTCAATTTATTTTAAAACTAACAAAAAGTGAGAAACTGTGACTTGCTAAAGGCAATTATTTACAGTTTGAACAGACCATAGAGAGCATCTAGATGAACCACCTCAATTTACAGAAAGAAGAAATGCCTTGACGGGTAGGGTCAGCTGATATTGTTCAGATTAGAAATACAGTCTTGCACATCCTCTTCACTCCCACTTCCGTATTGAATGGTGGGATATACAGTCAAAGGAGGTATTTATTCAAGGTTGGAGGTGAGCAGCATTTGTAACGATGCCAGGTTTGAGATATGCCAGATGAAATGTCATTTTCATTTTCCACAGTGCCAGATTGGCCTCTCTTTTTGGACGGGATCAGGCGGCTGCTGACCATGGGAATGAATTCTTCCAGTACACAGCCCCAAAGCAGCCTAAGAAAGGCCAGGGAGCAGCAGCAGCAGGTAAGTGAAGAGGTTAGGAGTGGCCCCTATAACATTAGTTGAAAGTATAAACAGCCTTCCAAAAGTGATATTCCAGGCTGTTCATCCTTGGTCAGTCTGGCCAACCTCACTACTAGTGGTGCATGCCTCTCCTGCTCTGAGATATGAATCCTGGCAGGTAGATAGTGTGCCTTTGTTTGAAACCGATGAAGGGAGGTTGCAGGTAAGCTCTTCTGCTCCGTGTGGACACCATCTCTGAAACCAGGCAGGTATTGTCCAGTGTTTTGACGAGAAGGAAGGGCTGCTTTTTTCCTTGCTGGGTTAGATGTATGGTGACAGTGAATTTTTCCCAACTAAACAGTGATGCTCAGTGCTGAATCCTCGGTACCTTTCATCATGATGGACACAAAAGAAAATTGAGTGACATTTGTTGAATGAAAGGAAAGAAGGGAGACTAATATTTCTAAAATGCCTGTTATGCCTCAGATGATTTACGTCGATTTTTTTTTTTTATCCTCACTTGGCGATAGGTTTTTATTGATTTGAGAAAAAAAAACATTGCTTTCCATTTGCACCCGACTGGGCAGTTAACCTGCTACTTGGGTATGTGCCCTGACCCGGAATCGAACCTTTGACCTTTCAGTGTACTCCACTCTGGGTAGATTTTCTTATTTAATTTTCATAATTCTGTGAAATAGATGAGACTACCACCATTTTAGATTCTCAAAGAGGTTTAGGGATTTGGTCTCAGTTATACAGCAGTAAATGACAGTTGAAATTTGAACCTTGATCTGATTTCACTCCAAAGGTTTTCTTCCCTCCTACACTTTGCTGTCTTTGTGTAAGAACCTTAAGAGGAAGGAGGGACTGATAGAAACAGCCCTGAGCTACCAGCACTGGGCTGATGAGAGATATTAAATATTTGTTGAGTGAAGATGAAAGGATTGTATTCCTTTTAATGCTAGGCACAATGCTGGCACTGAGGATGTGAGGATATTTAGAATTGAATAGTTATAGTAGTTGCCATGTGACCCCAAAGGTCTAAGATGTTTACTGTGTGTCCCTTTACAGAAAATGCTTGCTGACCCCTGCTCTAAATCTTACCTGTCACTTTTGGCAGCTGTGCTGTGGATTTCTGGTCCTGTTCTCTAAGCCCTAACCTGGCCAGATTTCTAGTAGGCTGTGCCTATACATTTCATCAGCTGTATGCTTCTGACTCAATTTAAAGTGGTGGAGCTAATGGGTGTAGATAAAAAGAAACAACCTAAGGCCCCACCCAGTGAAGTAACTTGATTTTAGAAATCAGGCAACAATTATAAAGTAATTATACTTCCAAAGAAGAATTATAGAGGCATTTGAACTTAAACATTACTTATACAATCTTATGTAGGCATTTACAAATAAAAAGCAAAGTAGCAATATAGGGGATCCTTCCGTTCAAGGGATATTTATATGTAAGAAGTCTTTGTGGGGAAGATGGCTGAAGCATAGCTCTTGACTCTTCAGATTTCAATATAAAAACATAGCAACTAGATATAAATACAAATCTATGGATAATATTTACAACAAAACCAATTGAAGTGGTATTCTCATGAACCTCCCAAATATGGACAAACCAATGCCAGCCACAAGGCTTTCATGGTATCAACATTTGTGGGAGCAAACAGGGATGCAGTGGGAGAATATCTGAATCTGAGAATGGAGAACCCCAAAATAGCCAGTAGGTGTTCATGGAAAATATGGTAGGTCAAGCTGAAACTGGGAAATGTTTTACCCACTCTTCTTGTTTTACCCACAAGGGGTTGTTGATTGGGACTAAAGAATAGGAGCACTTTTGCTCCTATGAGCTTGTGAAACTCACCCACTGACCTTCCAGGACAGGTCTCTGAGAAGAATCTGCTGGGAGTGGAATTCAGATTGAGGAGGATAGAGATATTAGAGTGAAGGAGAGAAGATTCAGGTAAGTGTAAAGATAGAAGTAGAATACTAAAGTCTCAGAAGCAAGCCACCCTATTTTTTAACTTTATACAAAAAGAACAGAAGAGGGAGCTCTACTCCTAAGAGTTCAGAAAAATGAGCAATAGAAAAGTCTCCAACTCAAACTGCTACAAAGTTATTATAAGAACAAACAGAGCAAGGAACAGAGTAATATCCCTGCAGGCAGCGAGAGATCTCCTCTGTGAGAATGTTTCTCCCTGAACAGATCAAAATTACGACCACTTATTGACATTAATAAGTAAGACATGAGATGAGAACATAAATGCGAATTAACAGATTATACCTTAAGAGAAATAGAAGGTTAACAGGAGGAAATTAAGTTTAAAAAAATTGAGATTTCAAAAGAAAGTGACAAATATTAACGATAACAAAGATCTACCAAATGGGGAAGGAGAGGAAGAAAAACAAGAAAACTTTGTTCAAGGAAAAAAAGAGAGATTTGAAACCACATACTATTAAAAAAAAAAGTCCTCGTGAGTTGGAAATTCAAAAATCTGTGCAATGCTGATTTCAGAGAGGAAAATATGCAAAGCCAGTGAGAAGATCATATGATTCTGAGAATCTGACTCATTCCTCCAGCAATTCACAAACAACCTTCCATTTCCAGAACATGAGATAGGGAGATCAGAGTGTACTGGGGACAAGTTACACCATCCTGGAGGACGATGCTAGAATGACCTCAGAGAGACAGTAATTTTTCTCAGTGTTTCCAACTTATCCTCATAACCTAACTCTGGCCTTAGTCTGTCATACACTGCTTATCAGGAGAAAGATTATAGTATTACATATAGCTGGAAAGTGCTGATTGAATTAAAAACTAGGTATAGATTTTTACTAAATAATAAGGAAAAGATGAACATCAGACTTGGAAAATAACCAACCAGCATAAATAGACAATTCATCAAAACAAAGCAAATGGTCACTATACATCTATAGAAAATGTTAAATTTTGGCCTCCCTGTAATCAATAAATGCAAATGAAAGCAACAATGAGAACACATTTCCTTTTCCCTACTGCCTTCCTCCCATTGGTAAAGATTTTTAAAAATATATATTTTTTAAAGAGGAAGAGAGAGAGATAGTAAGAAACATCGATGAGAGAGAGGTACATCGATCAGCCGCCTCCTGCACATCCCCTCTGGGGATGTGCCCGCCACCAAGGCACATGCCCCTAACCAGAATCAAACCTGGGACCTTTCACTCCGGAGGCCGTCGCTCTTTCCACTGAGCCAAACCGGTTTCGGCCCATTGGTTAAGATTTTATTTTATTTTTTTTATTTTTTTATTTATTTTTTTTTTTGGCTCTGAATCTTTTTCTTTTTTTCTTTTTTTTTTTTTTCTTTTTAAATCAATCTTTATTGTTCTTATTATTACAAAGGTTCCTCATTTCTTCCCCCCTCCACCAGGTTCCCACCCCACCCTCTGCCCCCTCCCCATCCCCCATTGTCTTCATCCATAGGTGCAGTTTATGTTCAGTCTCTTCTTCCCTCAATTTCCCCAATAGTAAATCCCTTTTCAGATAGTAAATCAGTTACTTAGCATTTTCTCATATCAATAATACCTCCACATGCCCAATGATACACTTCACACAAAAGACATTTCCCAATAGGTCAACCAGCCTCATCCAGGCCCCACCCAAGGCACTCACAGATCAACACCCCAGTCCTAAACTAACTCAACACATCCAGATCTAAGCCTTCATCACTTGATTCAGCAGACCCTCAAGTTCCCACGAAAGTTTCCAGCCATGTCTGAGAAGCAGCTGTGGGCAGGGGCAGGCAAGGAGCGAGCTGTTCTGGGCCTGGCTGCTCAGGGCCTGGCCTCTGTTGCTCTGGTTCATTCCACAACCAGCTGCTCCGGGTCTGGTCACTGCCGCTCCCGACCTAGTTGCTCTGGACTTGGCTACTGCTGCTCCGGGCCTGGCCGCTCCCAGCCTGGCAGCCGCTGCTCCGGGCCTGGCCGCACCCGACCTGCCTGCTCCCCCGTGGTTAAGATTTTAAAAGATAATTTCTTCTTATTGGCAGGCTGAAAAGCTGGTGGGCTCAAACTGCTAGTGTGAGTGTAACTGATATGGCATTTCTCAAGGACATTTGGGCAGGATGTAACAAAATCTTAAAATTGTTTACACACTTTCACTCCACATTTTCATTTTTAGAAATTTCTTCTAAGAAAGTAATTAGACATACACACAAACATGTGCATTTTAAGGATGTTCACCATAACATTATTTATAATAGAGAAAAATTGTAGGCAGCCCAAAGAAATATCAAACAATAGGAAATTGCATACATTTTGATTATTTTATGTAGCCATGAAAAAACATTTTTAGGGTTATTTTGTCTTTGTTTTGGACACTGTTTTGAAGAATAAAAGGAAATGCCTATATTAAGTGAGAAAAGGAGGTTGTCAAATGACACTATTAATTTTGTTTGGAAAAGGTAAAACTGCGAGTTTGTGTACCAAAAGGACTAGGAATAAATACATCAAATTATTAATGTTTACTTTTGGGTGGTGAGATTACAGGTTCGTTTTTCTTTTTCTTTGTATATTTCTATATTTACTAAGTTTTCTGCAGTATACATGTACTCTACAGACAGAAAAATTGTGTCAATATGAAATTAAAGAGCAAAATTTGACCATAAATTTCAGAAGATCTTACTGGTTTTATTCAGCAGTTCCTGAATCAGGCAATATCCAATCTTGTAGATTGAAAAGAGCTCCAAGGAGCTGTATAGAATGATAGAATTTTATAAGCAGGCCGGGACCGGTTTGGCTCAATGGATAGAGCGTCGGCTTGGGGACAGAAGGGACCCGGGTTCGATTCCGGTCAAGGGCATGTACCTTGGTTCGGGCATATCCCAGTAGGGGGTGTGCAAGAGGCAGCTGATCGATGACTCTCTCTCTCATCGATGTTTCTAACTCTGTATCTCTCTCCCTTCCTCTCTGTACAAAATCAATAAAATATATTTAAAAACAAAAAAAGAATTTTATAAGCAGAAAAGAACAGGAACACAGAAGTTATAATAGGCAAAATGCAGATTGATGTCTCGAGATTACTTTCCTTTAGGGAATGACAGTGGGTCTTTCAGGCAGATTACCTAACTAGTGCTGATCAGGCTGTTCCTGATTGACTGGTTAAAGCTTCCATTTTGGGGACAGCCAAAACTGTAATTAAGACTCAGTTTGTTGACATGGAGCTTAGCAGTGACTTTATTTTGGACCTGTGGTCTTGTTTTTATCAATACAGAATAAAAATAAATCAAACAAGGATGCTTTTGAAAATAAGTCCTTAGTTGTATGTCCACTCTAATGTTTTCACTACTCTTCCATCAGCACATTCATGTTGTGAGTGTAAATATGTGATTTACTCTAAATATACTGTTTTAAAACACTAGAGTTACTTTCTTTCACTGTGCAAGGTAAGTAATGGCTGTAATTTGAGTATTGTAAATTTTCTACTTTAAGGGAAGGGAAATAACTTTATTTGTATTTATTATAGCTCTCAAAATATTGGAAGGGGAAAAGAAAGTAGATGGAATATGACCTTGTTTTCTTGTCCAGCCCAAAGACTTGTTTAAAATGGAAATGAAGCCGAGGGCCTGGGCTTGCTGCTGTCATTGTGTAAGGCCCTTAGGTGCTTAAAGTCTCTTATTTCCTCATCCCCAGATGAGGTCATGTTTTATGGATCAAATGAGGATAATGGTCATAAAAGCATTTTAATATTAACCATAAGGCTTAAGGAAGAATTTTAAGCAGTTTTAATGGTTAAAAAAAATCAGTTTCATGCAAGAAATGAATGACAGCTTTGTTTTCTTCCTCATCTTTAGGAAATCAGGCAGCACCAAAAACAGCACCCACCTCAACGGGCACTTCCACAGTATTGGTTGCAACAGCAGTCCATGCGTATAGATAGTAAGTAGCTGAGAAGGAATGCTTTCTGAAGTTGAGGGTGGGCTAGCCTCTCTCTCTTCTCAATAAGCCTCTGTTCATTCCATAGGAAAAGTATCAATAATGCTTTTTAACTTTTCAGTTTTCCAACGTCTCATAAAACTTTGAGGAGCCATTATCTTCTCTCTCTTTCTCTCTTCCCCACTCCTCACCCCTCTTTCAACTACATATACCTCAACATCTGCCTTTCCAAGTGCTCAAAGAAAGATAATTCATTGAGATATAAATAGTAGATATTTAAAGAATAAAGAAATTGGATAAGAGCTTTTAATTATAAACTGCTCACCTCTATTCCTTTCTAGAGATTCAATGACTAGATTTCCCACTTTTACATAGCAGAAAAGAAAGCTGGTTCTGCTTAGTTTAAGGAAGTATTAATATCTATTGTTTTTGTTTTGCTTCTGTAGCACAAACGGTCAATATGTAAAGCAGGGCAAATTTGGTGCTGCAGTCCTGGGAAATCACACAGCCAGAGAGGTGAGATTGCCCCACATCTCATGTATATTTAAGTGTCCCAGATCCTACTCATGAGCTGGTTTCCCTCTGGGCTTGCTCAGGGTCTTCAAATTTTGTTCCAGAAGGTTTTGAATATTGTCAGAGGATTAAAATGATTGTTTGTGTTGAATGTACATTTTTAACATTAGGTATATAGTAACATTTATAGTCACATTTTGCTTAAACAAATCCAGCCACTCACTATTTTCAAGTTTAATTTTTATGATATAGACCTGGCTTAAGAATTCGGAGTTTTAGAGCAAACATTTACCAAGGACATCCCTTTGTTAGACAATGAGCAACACTTAGGGAACAGTATGTCCTTGTACCTGCATTAATGACTAGTATTTATCCTTTGAAAATTTAATGAGACCATCAGTCACAGAGTAAAATATTGGTTTGGGTCAAAAGATGTGGTCTAGTCGGTGTGGCTCAGTGGTTGAGTATTGACCTATGAACCAAGAGGTTACAGTTCAACTCCCAGTAAGGGCACATGCCCAGGTTGTGGGTTTGATTCCCAGTAGGGGGCGAGCAGAAGGCAGCTGATCGATGATTCTTTCTCATTTATTGATGTTTCTTCCTCTCTTTCCCTTTCCCTTCCTCTTTCTGAAATTAATTTTAAAAAAGAAGAAGAGAAGGAGAATGTGGCTAGAAGCCCTGATACTGTTTTACTTTTGTGGGTTATGTCTAGCTTCAAATTCTGCTCCAGAAGGTTTTGAATATTGTTGAAATAAGCATAAGAAATTACAGAATTTCAGAAGTCCAGAGAATGTGGATTCTATACTCCTCAGAGACTCTGAGACACAGAGAGATAAGATGACCTGTCCAGGGTAACTAATATAATAGACAACACTTGTTTCTGTTAAAGACAGACAAACAAAAAATTTATGGAAATTTGGAAACATAATAGTGGGACTAGAATAATGAACCCCGAGATAACTCATTATTAGGCCCTAACTGTTATTAATCTTATTTTATCTTAAACCCAGCCAGTCTTCCTTCTTCCCCCCTCGTATTATTTTGAGTAAATTTCCAGCATACAATTTTAGCTGTAAATTTTTTTAGTATGTATCTCTGAAAGAAAGGGATTTTTGAAAAATGTAACTATTATGCTACTATCACACCTAATAAAAAAACCCACAATAATTTTTTATGTTCATTCACTAGAAACTAGTATTCAGTTTCCCTGATTGTCTCTTTTCTTTTTCTTTTTATAGTTTAATTAGGATCTAATGAGGTTCATATATTGCAATTGGTTACTGTATCCCTTAAATCTGTTTCATTTTTTCAGCTGGAGGTAAATAAACTCTGGTTGTTCCTTATTTTGTTGTTAGAGCCACAATGGTTATTATTTATATCTATTAATTTGTTAGTGGTTGTCATTTGGATCATGAAAATCTGGTATTGGGGTTTTACCACCCTTCATTACTAGATAGGATACAGTACTGTGGCAGATAACAGTCCTACTGTAACAATTATAAAAAAGGAGATAAATTGTAAAAACTACATTTTAAAATTCATTAGAGAGCTGTGGAAATGATGAGGACTAGATGAACTAAAATTTCAGAGGGAAGAGCCAATTAATTGTTTCCTTCTCTTGAAATTTTGGCTGATGCCTCAGAGTAGAATGAACATTAGGTATGGCTCAAGCACTGAGATTGCTGGGGGCAAAAGACGTTGGAATAAACAAACACAAGATTTGTTTTTCCCCTTAGGACATATATGAGTTCTGGGATGGTGTGGAAGTCCAGGGCTGTGCCAGAAAGGCTGAGGGAAACTTCTGCAATCTTATGGTGCATAGGAGATAAAGTCTTATTACAAGATGGGAACCTGTAACCAGCATCTGACAACCTTCCTGTCAATACATTTGCTAGATTTTTAATTTTGTGGGGAGGAGGCTAAAGAACTCAGCTCAGAATTGCTGATGGGCAGAATGTCCAGGACTGAGAGGTCAGAGACCTTCCAAACTTTCAGTCAAAAGCCTAGGAAGATAGTGCTGGAGAATAGGTGCATCCCCATGGAATGACTGACTGATCTATGATCCTTCCCCGACCAGCTTAATCTGTCATTGGTTTGCACTGAGGTGATCAGCTCTTCATTATCTGCCTAACATAGGAAAAGAAAAGACCTTTCTCGTGCAGGATTGTATATGAACCTTCAGAGTCTCATCCTCCCCTCTGGGGTTGAATTTTATCATTATCATTTGTTTAACTGTGGTTTTGTGTGTGTGTGTGTGTGTGTGTGTGTGTGTGTGTGTGTGTGTGTGTGTGTGTTTTATAGCAAAGGTGGAAATGTATTGAGAAACAAGCAGAATCCCACATGGGGAGGGGGAAAGAGTCTCTATGTGGTTTATATGTGTATGAATAGTAGATAATATAAAATTGGCCATTTTGCCATTTAAGCGTATAATTCAGTGGCATTAATTACATTCACAATATTGAGCAGCTATTACCACTATTCATTTCTACTTTTTCATCACCCCAAACAGAAAATCTGTAATCATTAAGCAATAACTCTCCATTCCTCCTTCCCTTATCCCCTGGTGACCTTCATCTGTGTTTATGAATTCGCCTCTTCTAGATATTTCACATAAATGGAACCATCTGTCCTTTGTGTCTGGCTTATTTCACTTAGCATAATGTTTTCAAGCTTCTTCCATGTTGTTGCATGTACCAGAACTTCATTCTTTTTTTGTTTATCCATTCATTCATCAGTTGATGGACATTCGGTTGTTCCACCTTTTGGCTATTATAAATAATGGTGCAGTGAACATTGGTGTACAAGTATATGTTTAAGTCTGTTCAGTTTTTTTGATATATAATAGGAATGAAATTACTGTGTCATAAGGTAATTCTGTATTTAGCTTTTTGAGGAACTGCCAGACTGTTTCCACAGTAGCTGTACCATTTTATATTCCTACTAGAGGCCCAATGCATGAAATTTGTGCAAGAGTAGGCCTTCCTTCCCCCAGATGCCAGCACTGGCTTCCCTCTGGCCTCTAGGACTCGGGCTTCCCTCAGGCCGCCAGCAGGTACCTGGGACCAGGGCTTTCCTCGCAGTCCTGGCTTCATCTAGAAAGTCGTCTGGAAGGATGTCTGGTCTAATTAGCATATTATACTTTTATTATTATAGCTAAGCAATATATGGGTTCCAATTTCTTCACTACCTTACCAACACCTCATTATTTTTCCAGTTTTTTTTTTTTATGTATACCTTAGTAGGTGTGAAGTGGTTTAATTTGCATTTTCCTAATGACTGATGACTATTGATTATCCTTTCATGAATTGGTTGGCCATTTGTTTATCTCTTAGTCACCCATCTAGAAATGAAAACATCAACAAAATAAAGACATTGCAATTACAGTTAAATAGTAAGACCAAAATAAAAAGAGATTAAAATGGGTAGTGAGAAGATACAATTTAAAATCCAAGCATTAAGGGATTAACTGAGTTATGTACCCATGAAACACAACCCCTGAAATCTTACTGCTAATTTTTACATTGTCTTTTAACTTCTATTCTCTGTCTTTTTTTCTGCTCATCTTTGCTTGAATACAGTATAGGATTCTTCTTTATATCAGTCAACAACAGCCAGTTACTGTTGCCAAGATTCATCTGAGCTTTGAACTAATGGTAAGACTTCCCATATTAGAATCATTAACTCCCTTGGAATCCTATATAATAAAAACCTAATATGCAAATTGACCAAGTGGCAGAACAACTGGTCATTAGATGCAACTGACTACCAGGGGGCAGGTGATCAAGGTAGGTGCTTCCCCCTGGTGGTCAGTGTGCTCCCATATGGGGGCATCGCTCAGGCAGAAGCTGGGCTCATAGCTGGTGAGTGCAGTGGCAGGAGCCTCTCCCGCCTCTATGGCAGCGCTAAGGACCCCTTGGGGGATGTCCAACTGCCGGGTTAGGCTCACTCCCCACAGAGTGAGCCTAAGCTGGCAATTGGACATCCCCAGGGGTCCTTGATTGCAAGAGGGCACAGGTCAGGCTGAGGAATCTCCCTCCCCCAGTGCACGAATGTTGTGCACTGTGCCTCTAGTAGGTTTATAAGAGAAACAGGTCTGTGCATACCTGGTAGAAATTAGATCTGCTCCTTTAGCCCAGAGTATCAGACTGGATATCTTACCAGAGCATCTTGGGAAGGACTCCTGGCTTCCTTCTGGGAATGTGGACTGGGGGATGATATATGGAAGATGGGAGGGAGAAGAGAGTTCCCTGTGTATCTCTCTTTGGGTCCACTTTAGTCACAGCCGCTCTATCTGAGTTTAGGCAATCAGATTTATCTTCTGTGCTGTCTGGTTGAGTTATGCCAACATTTCTCCTTTCCCCAGGTTCGGCCCAATAACTATAGCACCTTTTATGATGACCAGAGACAAAACTGGTCCATCATGTTTGAGTCGGAAAAGGCTGCTGTAGAGTTTAATAAACAGGTAATACCATCTTATTTTTTCTGTGAAAAGCCAAACACTAAATATGAATTTGATTTGATTTAAGGAAAATAACCTGGTAATATATTGTTAGTGGACAAGCATTAAAAAAAAATCCCACTGAATTTGTCACATGAGCTTATTGTATTTTAGGAAAATAATAGGAATTTTCAAATTAATTCAAATTGCTTAAAAATGAGACTTTAAGAGGAAAAAGATTAAATGTTGTAAACTTAGTTCTTTAAAACAGTTCTATACTCTAGCCAGTTTGGCTCAGTGGATAGAGCATTGGCCTGTGGATTAAAAGGTCTCAGATTTGGTTCTGATTGAGGGTATGTACCTCCGTTATATAGGGGACTAAAGGAGTTAGGATCCTGGTCAAGGTTGTGGTCTCTACTGATTGGTGTTAGGGTAATTGTTGATCATTGTATCTGGTCCTGGTGTCAGACAAAGCATTGCTTCATTTTGCTTTGCTGCTTTTCTGGAGCTGAAACACTACTGAGCCTAGATGTTATCTTTAGTTTCATTAAAACTCTATGGTCTATAGACCTGAGGCTTTGTTCCTAAGATTGTTTGCTGCTGACCAGAGCCTCATTGTCTTGAGGGCTTAACGATTAAGGGAGTGGATATGTAAGGGAGAAAGAGGTGATTCAAGGTGCTGGATGAGGCCAATGTGAATTGAAAGGAAAGAAAGGAAACAGGCCATATTAAAGAAATGGCATTTCTGCATGGTTACTTGTCTTTAAAAATGCTTTCAGTGTATTTTTTTAGAAGGTCCCTTTCTTGCCTACATTCCCAAACATTGAAGCTGAAAATCAGTATGATAACAATAGCTAACATTTATGTGTATTCACTGTTACTTTCCAGGCTCTGTACCTAGTACTCGTGTTAGTTCAATCTTCATAACTACCCTAGGAGATACGCAAAATTTTTGTCTCCATTTTACAAAATCCCTATGAAATAAGGTTCACAGAGGTTAAGTTATTTGGCCAAGATCACAAGTTAATAAGTAGTCTATTAACTCAGATCTGTACTCAGACTGACTGCAAAGCCATACTCTTAGACACTTTAATTCCAACAACATTACTGACTTTGGAGTGGTTTACTTCTAAACACGTAATCTGATTTGTTAGTGGACGTTACCGTTTGGAAAAGAGTATTGGAAAAATGGAGTACTTAACTGAGCTTAAACTAAACTTATGCTGTTTCAATTTTTGTCTCCCAGGTGTGCATTGCCAAGTGCAACAGCACCCCTTCCTTGGATGCAGTGCTGTCACAGGACCTCATTGTAACAGAGGGCCCTGCGGTGGAAGTTGGAGATTCTTTGGAAGTGGCCTATACCAGCTGGCTCTTTCAGAATCATGCTCTGGGCCAGGTAAGAACATGTCCCCTGGGAGTCATTTTGTCATTTAAACAACATGAGGGCTATTCAGGTGTAAGGTATTATAACGGTGAATCGCTGCTGTTGGTAAATATTAATGGTTTAGGAGCCCTGCTTTAATTCCTACTGTTGCTTTTGGGGCATGGGCATGAAATGCTAATGTATAAAATCTGCTCAGTGCCACTCATTACTTCTACTTAGAGAAAATGGAAACCAGTTTCCCAGGTATTATTTTTGGTAGTTGTTCAAGTGTATGTCTCATCCTCCTATAGCAGTGTTAAACTTTATATTCTTAGGGGATTAGGTTTTAAAACTTACTTTTAGACCTTCCAGTTGTTTCTGTCCTTTTGATAGTAGATACTACCCTGTTTCCCCCAAAATAAGACAGAGTCTTATATTAATTTTTTCTCCCAAAGTTGCGCTAGGTCTTATTTTCAGGGGATGTCTTATCTTCCCATGCGCTAGGTCTTATTTTCGGAGGATGTCTTATTTTTGGGGAAACACGGTATAAATAGGTTGGACTTGTTGTCTTTTACTATTTTTAAGCCATCAAAAGCTTAAGGTATGGTATGTGAGAAAAAAAGTGGATTCAAATCTCAATTTTACCCTAATGTAACCTTGTTAAGTCATTTAAACTCAAACTATTTTTCCCCCATTGGTGGATGGAGGTTAGAGGTTTATGACAGGATTGGTATCAGCATCAGATGAGATAATTTATTTAAAAGTTCTTTATAGATGAAAAATGCTTTTAATAGATGAAGTTACTTTTTTTTTTTTTCTTTTTTTCCCCCTAAATCTGGAAAGTCAGTGCCCAGAGATATTCTGGGTGATAATATTCCTTAGCCATGATGTGGTCCAATCTTTTCAGCTCTCTCAGAAATTAATTTTCCAGTATATTTGACATTCCCTATTCTAGAAATACTGTGCCTGGTATGTTTAGTCAGTTGCATATCATAATGATTGTTATTATTTATTAAATTATCATTTACTTTGATCAAATTGCAGGTTTTTGATTCTACTGCTAACAAAGATAAGCTGCTTCGCCTGAGATTAGGATCAGGGAAGGTCATCAAGGTAAAGGCTTGTGTTCTTATATGGTTTTATCAGTTGCAATAGGTTTAATTTTGGTTAAGTTTTGGAAATTTCTGACTTGGATATCTTCTGAGAGCCTGGAAAAGCTTGGTTAAAAAGAGGGAGAGCCCGATTGGTGTGGCTCAGTGGTTGACTGTGGACCTATGAACCACAGAAGGTCATGGTTCGATTCTCGGTCAGGACACATGCCTGGGTTGCAGGCTCATTTCTCAGTGTGGGGCATGCAGGAGGCAGCTGATCAGTGATTCTCATCATTGATGTTTCTTTCTCTCAGTCTTTTCCTCTCTTAAATCAGTAAAAATATATTCTTTAAAAGGGGGGAGGGAACGTGTTCACGTCTATATTTGGGAGATTTTTCTACGACACAATATCTGGTTATCCTGCCTTATCCTCGGTTTTGCTTTCCATGGTTTCAGTTTCCTGTGGTTTAACTACAGTCTGAAAATATTAAATGGGAAATTCCAGAAATAAAAAATTCATGTTTTAAATTGTGATGAAAGTTCATTCCGTCCTGCCTGGATGCGAGTCATCCCTGCCCTAGCATATTCACATGGTCAGCACTGCCTGCCCTGTAGTTGCTTAGTAGCCCTCTTGGTTACCTGTCATAGTATTGCAGTGCTTGTTTTCAAGTAAACTTTACTTAATAATGGCCCTAAAGCCATTCACATAACTTTTAGTATAATGTATTGCTATCATTATGTTTTATTAGTTATTGTTAATCTCTTACTGTGTGTAATTTATAAATTAAACTTTAGCATAGGTATATATATATAGGAACAAAACGTAGTATATATACGGTTTGGTACTAAATGTGGTTTCAGGCATTGAAGATGGGTACATTTCTTTATTTCCTACTCTTTCTCTTTCATCCTGTAACTCTGGAGATTTTTAAATCCTTCCTACAGCCTAATAGGAAATGAAGTGGAACTGTTTCTTCTAGAAGTGTATCTATCATATGGGTTGATTATCTGTCTGAGATGTTTTGAATCAGCACTTTTCAATTATTGTGGGAGGCAACTGTACCACAGCAGGAGCACTGAGGTCGGAGTCCAAGAACCTGGGTTCACATTGTGAATTTTTTCTTCATGTGTTATAACATAAAAGGGTATTTTACACACATGGGGAATTGTGTCAGGACATATTAATGCATTGAAAAGTACTCATTCATCCACGGGCAAAAGTCTCCATAGCATTGTTTATGATTCCTTTTCTCAGAGTCTTTTAGAGACTTTTTCATGTAGATCAGAGCAATTAAAGCCTGACCCTTGAAATTAGACAGATCTGGTATTAAATCTTGGCTTAACAAATTACTAACTTTAATATCGGACTAGTTATTTAACCTTTGTAAGCCTCAGTTTTCTCATCTGTAAAATGGGGATAATGCTGCTAACCTTATGAGGTTATTTTGAAGATTAAACAACATAATGCAAGTGAGTCACTTGCCAAAGTATATGAAAAAATGTATTTAATAAATTATTGCTTTTTTATCTTTTAATGCCATCCTATTCCAATTTCTCTCATCATCTGAGATAAGTATATTTCATCCATCTCTGGATATGCCAGCTTTTTACAAGTAAATTTAGAAGCAGTATTCTAGATATTCTTATAACCAATGGGGAGATGGGACATTAGTTGAACTTGAGCTGTCCAGAGGTCCAAACCTGAAAGTGTGGATGAGTGAAAACTGATGATCCTATACTTCATTTTTTCTTTGGAGGAGGTTTGTATCTGATGAGCTTTTCCCTTTTCTGTTTCTTAAAGGGCTGGGAGGATGGAATGCTGGGCATGAAAAAAGGAGGAAAGCGGTTGCTTATTATCCCTCCAACCTGTGCTGTTGGCTCTGAAGGAGTAATAGGATGGACTCAGTCAACGGATTCAATCCTGGTATTTGAGGTGGAGATTAGGCGGGTGAGTGAATTTGTGCTATGCTGTGCTGATGGGTAATCTTTGCTGGTTAAGTAAAATGAGTAAATATGTTTTGGAAAACCGGATTCTGAAGACTTTTTTTTTTAAGACCAAGGTTTATATTCAGAGTCTAGGAGTAGTTGTGATTGAGCAAATTACTTCTGTATGCTAACCTTTTTATTTTGTCCTTAAAATAGTGATTTCTACCTAAAGTGCATACTTTTTGTAGACATGTAGTAATTCCATGGCTACAAATTTATCCTATCAATTTATTCTCATCAGTATGTAAAGGTCTCTATATGTTGAGAGATACATAAAAATAGATACATAGTTTCCTTCCTCTGGCACATTGCTTATAATACTAAAAAACTGGAAACAACAAAGTGTCCATTATTAAGAGACTGGTTAAGTTATGTTTTTCTTTCACAGAGTGGACTTTTATATAGCTCTTAAAGAATATCCAAAATCTATTGTTAAATGAAAGAAGGAAGTTATAAAACAGTATGGATAGTATGGTTGTGTGTGTGTGTGTGTGTGTGTGTGTGTGTTTATGTGTGTCCATCGACTTTGTTAACAACTTAACTCTTAATGATTTTTCTCTCTGGAAAACAGTTTTCTAGAACATCCTACTAATAAACAGTAGGATGATTTTTTTTTTTTTTAAAGGAGTGACTACACGATTTTCTCTGGAGAATGGAAATGGAGTTCAGAAAGTCTTACTTTTTTACATTCTACTCTTCTGTACCATTTAAAATTTTTGTCATGAATTTGTTTAATTTTTGTTACAGATTTCGTAACAAATTGTGGTTAACTAAATTAGCACTACTCCCTCCCAAGTGCGGGGGCGAGGGAGGGGGGGCGGTAGATCTTTGTTTTACACTGTGATTGTTAGGTCCAAATGTGATTATGTTTATGATCATTAACTATAAAATACAACAAGTAAATATTATGATCATCTTTATTATAGCCATTATTCCTGCTACCACTGAGAAAGGATATGCTTTCCTTCTCAAGGACTCTTTCCTCATTGGACATTGTTATCTCTGGGGGTCATTTCAACCCTCTTTCCCTGACAGCTACCCGCTGCCCTTTCCACAGCTGCTAATAGTCTCTCAGTTTTCCTTTGAGTTTGAGGAAATCATGGCTAGTAACAGATAACAAACCAATTTGTATCCATCAAAGACTGGCATTTTGTAAACATAAAAATAAATTTTTTTTACCAGTAATCTAATAATTTCAAATTGGCATGCTTATTAAATTGTCAAGGCTGATTGATTATGCCCGGTGTGACAAGAGTGTTGAAAAGAATTTATACACTCTGTGTAGAGTATACAGTAATTGTTCATCCTTGCTGATGTGAAATTTAATGGTATATATCAGAAGTCTTAAAATTAGCATACTCGCCAAAACCAGTTTGGCTCAGTGGATAGAGAGTCAGCCTGCAGACTGAAAGGTCCCAGGTTCAATTCAGGTCAAGAGCATGTACCTTAGTTATGGGCCCATCCCCAGTAGGGGGTGTGCAAGAGGTAGCTGATCCATGATTCTCTCTCATCGATGTTTTTGACTCTCTCCCTCTCTCTTCCTCTCTGTAAAAAAAAATCAATAAAATAGATTTTTTTAAAAAAATAGCATACAATGGCCAGTGTGGCTCATTGTGGGGCATCACCCACTCACCAAAAGATCGAAGGTTCAATTCTTGATCAAAGGCAAAGACCTGGGTTGCAGGTTTGGTCCCCGGTCCCAGTCAGGGTGCATGGGGGAGGCAACCAATCAATGTCTCTCACATCGATGTTCCTCTCCCTTCTTGCCTCTTCCTCCTCTTCCTCTTCTTCCTCCTCCTCTTCCCTCCTTCCCTTACACTCTCTAAAAATCAATGGAAAAAATATCTTCAGGTGAGGATTAACAATAAAAACAAAAATTTAGCATACCTTTTAAACAACAGTTTAATTTTATGGGAATTTATACTTTGGAAGTACAGGGTGTCCCCAAAAATGTATGTACACTTTAACAACTGATAGCTTAATTTTGAAAATGAAATGTATTTTAACAAACACTGCCTTTATAATTATTTAAAGTGTATGTATAGTTTTGGGTGATACATCCTATATTTAATTTATATGCAAATATAAAGATATAAAGCTATTCAAAGAAGTATTGTTTGTGATAGAAAGAATTGGAAATAACTTGAATGTCCAACAGCTAGGAATTGGTGAAAAATATTTTGTAATACCATAGATATTTATGATTTCCTAAAATTCTTTAGAGATTTTTTTTGGTACATAATAGTAGTTAAGAGCATGACCCTTGAAGTTAGGCATATTCTTCAGTAGTTAAAAGTGATGTTGTAGATCATTAATTTAGTAACATGGAAGTAGGTTAATATATCAGTAAGTGAGCAAAACAGATTGCAAAACAGTATGGCCCCATGTTTGTAAAAACACACCTACGCCCTCCCCCCCCACACACATGCACATTGATAAATAAATGTGAAATACTACATCCAAAATTCTAACAATGTTATTGCTTAGTGGTTGGGTTATAGATTATTCTTGTTCCCCCCCTTTTTTGGCTTATCTGTATTTTCTGATTTGTCTACAATGAATAGATTATGACTTGTGTAATGAAGAATAAGTAACATGCAAGGAGGATAGAGGGGAAAGGGTGCCTTTTTGGTGACCTGTTTCACATGTGGGTTCTTTCCTAGGTGAAGTTTGCCAGAGATTCTGGCTCTGACGGACACAGTGTTAGTTCCCGGGATTCTGCTGGCCCTTCTCCCATACCTGGTGCTGACAGCCTGCCTGCTGATCCTGTTGTGTCACCACCCACATCGGTGCCTTTCAAGTCAGGGTCAGACACTGGATTTGTATCAAGCTCTGTTTGTCCATAAAAATCATTATTAGAGAGGTTTAGAAATAGGGTAGAGTTGAAAACTAAAAAAAAACAAAAACATTTAAATAATTTTAAAATATGATGAGGAAAATGGGAAGATAACTTGTATCAGATTTTTCTGACAAAGGATTAGTACTCATCATCTGTAAAAGCACTAACTCAGATATTTAAAAATGCCTGCTAAATCCTGGAATACAATTGGTTAAAAGGCATAATCACAAACTACATATTGAAGGGAAAAAATGTAAGTAAGCATTTGGATAGAAAATTATTCATCTTCACTAGCTTTTAGAGATTAAGCAGTTAAGTTTTTGTTTTACAGCTATTGGCAAACATTTTAAAAAATAATGTGTTTATCAGTATAATCTGGACTCGTTATAGATTTTGTTTCCGTCTCAGGATATGTTCTACTTGCTTTCAGGGAGCCGGCTCTTCGTATCAAATCTAATTCCCTCAGTGAACAGCTTACAGTCAATACAGTGAGTATATGAATATCTTTCCTCACCCCCAGTTTGCTGAAATGTTTTCATGTATGGGTAAAGATAAGAAAATGTTAAGAACTGTAAATATAGCTGAAAGTCTATGGTTAGTTTATTCATTTCCCGTTCTGCATAGACAGACCTGGGTTCAAATCTTTTTCTTTTCTTTCTTTTTTTTAATATATTTTATTGATTTTTTTTACAGAGAGGAAGGGAGAGAGATAGAGCTAGAAATGTCGATGAGAGAAACATCGACCAGCTGCCTCTTGCACACCCCCTACTGGGGATGTGCCCGCAACCAAGGTACATGCCCTTTTATAACTTTGTCGAACCTGGGACCTTTCAGTCTGCAGACCAACTCTCTACCACTGAGCCAAACTGGTTTTGGCCAAATCTTTATTCTGATAATCATGTGGCCTCCAGAAAGTCACCTAGCTTCTCTGATCCTCAGCTTCTTTATTATTAAAATCAAATAACTCTCACAGCTTCCTTATAGAGTTCTTGTAACGATTAGAGATATGTTTGTAAAACACTAAGCTCAGAGCCTACTTATAGCATGACTTCAGTAATCTCTCAAGATATTTTTATGAGGTTTACATGAAATAATGATCCTTGATAACAGTGATTTTTATTACTTTCCTGTCCTTTTAGAATCCTGATACAGTCAAGGCCAAGTTGATATCTCGGATGGCTAAAATGGGCCAGCCCATGCTGCCCATCTTTCCACCACAGCTGGATTCCAATGATTCAGAAGTTGAAGTATGTTCCCCTGACTGTATTAGAATGATTAGTGCAGAAGTTGCTATCATCTGTTCCTTTGGTTGAAATTATTGCTTTTTCTGCCTCTAACCCAGAATCATTATTTAGAGAGTTTGTATTCAAAATGATATATGTTGTTATTGGTACGTGTGTTTTTATAACTTTGTTTTATCTCTGTTTGGAAAAGTGATAAATAGTTTTTATAACTTTGTTTTATCTCTGTTTGGAAAAGTGATAAATAGATTTAACACTTAACAATTATCATAGCAGTTCCTCTGAGAAATGGAAGCAATTTCATACTGCTTCCAACTTCATCTGCCACAAGAACTGGGCATTTTAAGTAGGTAATTTAGCCTTCCACTAGAAACTATTGACAGTAAAAATCACTCTGTAAGCATCATGATGCCCAACTCATGAAAGATGTTCAACTTGTATTTGTTGATTGAATGTTCAGGTCCTCTTGGGAAATGTTGGTCTTCCCACTGATGTTATCTATACTAAAGATAACACTGCTGTGTCTTTTGCATTGTATGTGGTGTGATTTTTTTTTTTTTTTGAAGTTCAAGAATTTTGTTGCAATCAAATCAACTTTTTCCCTTTATGATTAGAAAGCTATCCCAGTCACATGTGTTTTAAAGAAATACTTACTGTTTTACATTTAGATCTAAAATTTTAATCCACCTTAAAATTGTATAATATGAAATATCCTAATTTTAATTCTTTTCTCATTGGTTGGTTCTTTATTGTTGAGACCATCCTTTTTCAATTGAAATGCTTAATAGAGATTGATTTTAAAAATATATATTTTATTGATTTTTTACAGAGAGGAGAGAGAGGGATAGAGAGTTAGAAACATCGATGAGAGAATCATCAATCAGCTGCCTCTTGCACACGTCCCACTGGGGATGTGCCCGCAACCAAGATATGTGCAGAATCAAACCCAGGACCTTTCAGTCCGTAGGTTGATGCTCTATCCACTGAACCAAACCGATTTCGGCTATTTTTATTTTTTAATGTAAAACATAGAAAAGGTCATATTCCTAAGAAAAATTTTCCAAAATAGTTTTATTTTTTATAACTTTGTTTTATCTCTGTTTGGAAAAGTGATAAATAGATTTAACACTTAACGGAGAGATTTCTATTGTTATAGGATTTATTTTTATCTGGTCTCTGGAAATGAAATTTGGACAAGATCATATTCTTACTAAAATTTTAGTGTTACTTATTCATTATAGAATAATTTGAATTATAAAAAAAGAAGAACATATTTGATAAAAAGGGCATTCTTCTATATATATTCTGTGAAACCTGATTTTTTAATTTAGTGTCATGTCATAAACATTTATGTTAATATCAATAATATAAATAAGGTAAATAAAGCAAAGCATTATTATCTTTAAAGGGAACCCAGTGCTCTATTATATTAATTTGTCATAATTCCGTTCACACTCTTGTTAGACATTTAGGTTAATTTAGAGCCATAGTGATGTAAAAGTGGGATACTTTTTCAGAAATGCATAATACATTTCTGAGTTTGTTGAGAACAAGAGGAAGCATCAAAGTAAAAGAGTGAGATTTCAGATTTTGTGTAGCAAAGCAGGTCAGTCACTATACATTGTGCCTCAAGATTTTGGAAGATGTTTGTAAGATAATTTTGTTTAGAGTTACAGTAGAGAACAGAGTGCTTTGATTTTTATGAAAGAATGGGGGCAAACATTCTAAAATATATTATCCCCCAAACATTATGGTAATGAGATGTGGAGAATCCTGGTCTCTCTGTTTTCATTGAGTGCCTTCAGGTCTGTGGAGATTGTTTAGTAGGAATGAAGAGGCTGGATTATTCCCTGGGTTTTCTTGCAAGAGACCCCTCTTCTGTGGGAACAGATAGGTCAGCCTTAAGGTCACTGCTATTTTGGTAAATAATACATTCTGGAGATCAGTCAGTTTAGCTGCCTCAAATAATAAATCTTGAACAACTTAGAATGTTTGAGGAAATTATATTCAATTATTTGGTAAGATTTCCAGGGAGAAGGGATTTTACTCTATTTTGTAATACAGTGCTTTCTTCCCACAATCCACACCCCGAACTCTTGCCTTCCTGCTTGCTTTCCCTTCCTCTTCTGTGTTGTAAGCAAGGTTAGGGTGGATAGCCAGCCTTAGTCTTCTGGTAAGACTCATACATAATAACGAAAATGCTGGTGCCTGTTTCAGGAAGTCAGTGCTCTGCGAGGAGCTGGGCAGCCCATGCCGACTCCATCCATTCAGCCCTCTCTTCAGCCTGCCCCGCCAGTGCTACCACAGGTTACCACACACGGTAAGGAAGCCCTCTGTGACTCTGGCCTTGAATGGGGTCAGCACCAAAGTAATCATCGCTATTCTTCATATTGTTAGGCTGCATCGTTTTAGTACTGAGAACTGGACTAGAATGTAAAACTTGTCAGTAGGGCATTTTCAGACCTGGTGGTGTATTGAGTCTGTTTGCTGTGTTGCATTGACAGTTTTGGAATTATGCACTCAGCTAATGAAGTGAGGTATCTCCCTCCGTATAAGTCTGCGCTTCCTGTCAGCTGATGGGATTGTCCGTTTGAGTCAAATGCCCTCGAGAACACCCACTTTCGTTCCACTAGCCCATAGCTGAGACTCCAGTAGAATTGATTTTAAAAGATTAAGTGAGGAAAGTGGTCAAGGCTGAAGCCCGAAGGTTTGTAAGGTGCTACTTTGGACTCATACAAGCAAGGGTGGGTAATGGTGAAAACTTCTTGCTTTATCTTAGCACCTCCGCCATCTGTTTCTGGACTCCAAGCCCCCTCTGCTGCCTTAATGCAAGTTGCATCTCTCGATTCCCACTCTTCAGCGGTATCTGGAAATTCCCAGTCCTTTCAGGTAATAACATTTAAGAACCATGTCATTTATAATCTGTAATTTATAATGGTCCCAGTCAGTCTCTTTTCTTCTTCCTGTACCGTTCATACAATAGCAGCTCTCTACAATCAGAGATTATAGTTTTTCCGCTTCCTGAACCACCACTTTTTCATCCCTAAACCAGTCCAAGGATTACGTGCCTTATGGGTTGTTATAAAGATTAAATGCAAGAACAGACAAAGCATCTGGTTCAAAGCCTGGCACACAGTCAAGGCCCGATCCATTGTTTGTTTCCTTTTCACACATGCCTAGCGGAGGGCTACACATCTTCTGTGTTCTTTTCTTTCAGACAGCTGATAGGCTAAGATTCTGCGCTGTACTCAGCACAGTCATGGTAGGTTGAGGGTGGAGGCTGCATAGAAAGTACAGCTGGACTCTGTCCTCTAAAAGAGACTCCTTAAAGTAGGTTTTTTCTGTTTTTACAGAAGGCAGAGGCAGCAGCCTGTCTGCCTCTGCTGACTGCCAGGATAGTGAACGATTTCTGCTGCTGCTGTACCTTTGATGAATAAGACATACTCCCAATGATAACGGGCTCACTTCCTTGGTGATTCTTTTTTTTTTTTTTTTTTTTTTTTTTTTAATAATATATTTTATTGATTTTTTTACAGAGAGGAAGGGAGAGAGATAGAGAGCTAGAAACGTTGATGAGAGAGTAACATCAACCAGCTGCCTTTTCACACCCCCTACCGGGGATGTGCCCGCAACCGAGGTACATGCCCTTGACCGGAATCAAACCCGGGACCTTTCAGTCCGCAGACCGACGCTCTACCACTGAGCCAAACCAGCTTCGGCTCCTTGGTGATTCTTAATGGAGGGGTGGAGTGGTGGTGGACAAGGTGTATCAGAATTGAAAAAGTCCCACTTGCTTTCTCTCCACTCCCTGAAGGAGAATTGTCATCCCATAGACTAATATTTTTTTTAACATATAATTAATGGGTAATTATATATCTGAAGTTATATGAGCTTCATTTCTTTAATTTAAAGAATAATAACTACCATCATTAAAATAACAGCTTCTGTTTGTTGAGCATTTACTATCTGCCAACCACTTAACTTATTAGCTGTTAAGAACATTACCTATGTATCACTACATCTCGTCCACACAAAGATCCTAAGAAATGGTGTGACTGTTTTCCTTCTATATGTGAGGTGACTTAGAGGGAAAATAGAGCTCTTGGTTACACAGATAAGCAGACGGTAGCAGGAGAGAGGCATCCTTTGGAACCTGGTGGGGTTAGTTTGATATCTCAGTGGACAACTCTCTTTTTACCTCAATGGAAACTAAGCAGAGTTGTCTTAGTTTTAACATTTCTTAAACCACCAATAGGCCTGATGACTGAGGAACAAATTCCTACTTAATCGAAACGTATCACCAGAGGACTGAGGAGCGACCTGACACCCTTCCCTCCCTTTCTAAGTAGGACTTCAGTGACTGGGTTACAAAGCTAATGCTCCTGCTGCAATTCTTAATAACAAACCCCAGTCTCATCCATTTCCAGCTTCAATAAGTTTGAGTTTCCTTCCAGCTGTCCACTTGATTCAAAAAGGAGAGGCATAAATGTTTATAAACCAGCTGTAACTTGGCATTTTTCTCAGCCCTATGCAGGTGTGCCAGCCTATGTTTATCCCCAGGCATCAACTGTCACCTCCCAGCTGCAGACCGTTCGGCCCTTGTACCCAGCACCGCTCTCTCAGTCTCCCCATTTTCAAGGTAGGTAATTTCCTGTCATTTTTTGCTGTGCTCTCCTCCCTTCCATCTGGTTTTCAGATTTACTCCAATAGATCTCTGCCCTTTTTTCTTATCTTTTTGAAAGTAGCTTTCTCGAGGTATCATTTACCGACCATGCAATTCACTCATTTTAAGTGTATAATTATATGATTTTTAAAGTAAATATATAGAGTTGTACAACCATCACCACAATCCAATTTTAGAACATTTCCATCACTCCCCCTCTCAAAAAAACAACACCCTTCACTCCACTTTCCGAGTTTTGTTTCTTGCATTTTTTCCCCCAGTCCTTTTTAAATTCCTCTGTCAGTGTGGCTCTGTAGAATTTATTAAAAATAGCAAAACATTGGAGGAAATTGGGAGAAAGCATGATGGCTGTTTGTGGATATACAATATCTCAGGTGAAAGATGATCTATTAAACATTTTAAATTATGAAAACAATACACTTTTATTAAAAGACCAAATAACCCAAAAGTGAAAATTACTGTCCTCCATCATTAAACCCCCTGATCATAGGAAACTGTTATTAACAGTTACTTAGGTAACTTTTCAGGTATCTTGTATACATGTACAAGTATGGTTGTCTAGTGTATAAAACAAAACAAAATAAAATGTAAACAGCTGGGGTGGTATACTACCTTCTTGTTCTGAAGCTTGTCTTTTACGTAATAATCATCTTTGCTGTTAGGATATTGGTTAGAAGGACAAGTATATCCTACAACATAATTAATGGGTTTCCTGGCTGCAACCTTTGTCTGGAAGCCCTGTCCCTTCTTGTCCAGGAAACCATGAAATCTATCATCTCCTCGGTATAGTTACCATCCCTCTCTCCTCTCCTTCAAGAGACATGATGGTGACCATGTGTCACCAAATAGTTAATCTTGCTTTTCTTTGTGCTCCTTTTATGCATTCTGTTGTAATGATCTGTTTACATGTGAGTCTCTGTCCACCAGACTGTGAGCTTGCCTGGGGTAGGAATCATATTTTATTAATTGTTGTATCCCTGGTACCTGGCACGCAGTTGAATGAATGGAGAAACAATCTGAGCTGCTAGTGCTATTACAGGCACAGTGAGCATGCTTGTGCCCTTGGACCAGGCTGTATCCCTGGAGCATTTTGCAGGAGCATAACCTGGTTATTGTTAGCAGCTTTTGGGTCTGTCTGCTCTACGTCTTCTTCTGAAGTGTCAGTTCAGCATTTTCCGGTATTTAGAAATGTTTCTTTCTCTCCTCTGCTGAGAGAGCTGTTGGCTTTTCCTCATACAATATCCTCTACTCCAGTTTTGTAAGTTTCTCTTTTACTTATTTCTGTTTAGGATCTGGTGACATGGCTTCATTTCTCATGACTGAAGCCCGACAGCATAACACTGAAATTCGGATGGCAGTTAGCAAAGTGGCTGATAAAGTGGATCACCTCATGACCAAGGTGCCTGTCAGGTTGGGGACTGTGTTGGAAATGAATATAAGCAGTGGGTACAAATAGGGAGCAACCAGGGCTGTAGGTAAACTCTTTCTTGGTTTCCTGTATTCATAGTAGTTATTTCCCTAAAGAATAGTTATTGGTATCCAGTTCACAGAAGAAAGCTCTAGTTTGTATTAGAGATTGTCTCAGAAACTCAGCCCTCTTAAAAAAGTGATTCTGTCTTGGTTATGTTATATTTCTCCACTTAAAACTTTCTCACTAAGTCGTTCTGGTACCCCTTTTGTAGGTTGAAGAGTTACAGAAGCATAGTGCTGGCAATCCTTTGCTCATTCCTAGCATGTCAGTTACAATGGAAACAAAAATGATCATGAGCAACATCCAGCGAATTATTCAGGTAAGGTGATCAGAAACAGAGCATAGCCTGGAGTCTTGCCCCTGTTCTCTCCCAAGATACTACCCTTTAAAACCTCCACTCCAGAAACAAATAAATGCCACATTGAGGTGGGAAATTCTGGAAAATGTGATAAATGCCACATTGAGGTGGGAAATTCTGGAAAATCCATGATGGCTTAATTCCAAGTGACATCACTATATAGTCAGGAGGAAACATTTCTCTTTGAGAATATTTCAGAATTTTGCTTTACTTTATAGCCATTTATATGTTTAATCTATTGGGCATAGTGATTTGTATCCCTCAGGAATAAGTTGTTTTAAATATTATATGTTTTTTATCTCAAAATATGTAACGTCGCTGTCCAAGTTGATTCCCTTTTACCTGGCACTTTTCTCTTAAAAACTTAAGATATACACCATACATTTTGAATCCAGGAAAATGAAAGATTGAAGCAAGAGATCCTTGAAAAGAGCAGTCGGATAGAAGAACAGAATGACAAGATTAGTGAACTAATTGAACGAAATCAGAGGTAATGACAGGTACGGGGCACTAGCTAGGATGGACAAAAGGGTTTAATTTGTAAATGCCCAAGTTAAATAAACATATTTGTGTAGGGCAATTTATCTTTCTCCTACTTCTGTTTCCTGCCTATCATGTGAATTATTGCTTGTTTTCTGAGAGGCATTTCCGTAGAGAGTGCTCAGTAGGCTGTGATGTAAGGCAGACCTGTGTTTGAACCCAGCTCTCTCTTCATTTGTTACCTGGCTTTGGGTATTGTGTTTATTCCTACTGGTCTAATTCCCATAAAAGTGATGCTAATACTCAGAAAACTGGTATAAACTCTTCCTCTTCTGTGTAGGTTGAATCTCTTTAATCAATGAGACTCCCAAGCATTTTGTAATTTTTCTACATCCTTTTGAAGATTTAAGTGTGAATCAGGGATATTTGTCATAGCATATAGTGTTTCACTTAAAAAATCATTCTCCCATGTTTTTCTTCTTCATGTCTCTTATCTCTCACATGGAAGGGGGGCAGGAAGGGACTTTCTTTTCTTCCCTCTTGCAGCCTTCTTACTCCAGTCTCTTTTGCCTTCTCATCCCCTTTCACCACGACACACACCCTTCTAATTTCTCTTCTCTTCATTATGCAAATTCAAAACAGTTCACCTCCAACCCAGGTTCCTGACACCAAACTTGATTGCAGCTCTAAGGGAAAGAAAAATCTTTTATATTGTTTATGAAGGTAGAGAGCAATGTTGTGAGGCCTGAATGTGTGTTACACCTGGAATACATTTGATGCTTGATAAATGTGTGTTGTTTTTCCCCCTTTATATATTTCATAGGTATGTTGAGCAGAATAACCTGATGATGGAGAAGAGGAACAACTCACTTCAATCAGCCACAGAAAACACACAGGCAAGAGTATTGCATGCTGAACAAGAGAAGGTAAAGTAATGGGAGAGAAAAGCCAGGGCAGGAAGTGGAGAGCTCAGGAGTGGTCCCGTGTACGTAATTACCAATCTGCTTTTCAACAGAACTTTTGCCATCGTTGGGAAGAGAACTAGAAATCTTCCAGTAGATTTTAATATGTCCATCATCCAGATATCTGTTATGTAATATACTTTGCAATAAGTTGACTCAGAAACAATCACTGATCTTAGTAATGTATGAATTATACAGCTTATTGCAAATTAAATTTATTCTGTTGATAAGAAAGTAGACAGTTGTAAAAACGCATGTAAATTATAAGAGCAGTAATGGTAGCAGCAGTGTAATAGTGCAGAAGAGATGGTTCGACCCCATGACTACGTTGCTGTCCAGAAAGCAAGACTAGTCACGAGAAGAGCAATCATTTACTACCTTTCTTGTTATAATACACAGAATATCATCAGATTAGGTTTTGCAACCATTATTTTACTTCCATTCGTCTAGGGCAGAGCACCATTTAACATAAATCAAGCAGTCAAAAGTTGAAGCATTCCCTTCTTTTATTAGCTCTGTTTTTCTAAGAACCCCCAAAACAGCAACTCTCATGGGGCTGATCTTTACATTGTAGGACTAATGTTAGTGCCGTATTACAGGGGAGAAATTATAGTTGATTGCCATTGAAGATATTCAGTTTAAATTTTTAAATTTCCTTTTTTATTTAAAAAAAAAAAACATAGAAAAGTTAGGAAATATTATAGTAAGAATACCTTTTTTTTTTTTTTTTTTTTCATGTATCAGATTGGTTTCATGTATCAGATGTTTACCAATAGGTTGTAACTGTATCCAATGCCATTAATATTCTTGGAGACCATTCAGAGTAGTTGTATCATACTTTGCTTAAGCCCATTTGTGAGCATTTTATTTTTTCATTCTTTTTCAACTATATACAATGCTACGTCAAACATCCTTGTAACAACATTTTTGTAATCTTCCCAACAATTTCTTAAGGACAAATTTCTTCAAGCGAATTCCTGAGTCAGACACTTTGTACATTTGAGGGTCTGATTTTAGTTCAATGCAGATTGAAGGTGGGCTTAGCTCCCTTTCTATCAGTTCAGCCAGCATAGAGTATGTGAGGCTGGGTCGTCACTTAGGGACAAAGAACACCCATTTTAAAGTGACGTCATGCTTTGTTACTCTTCAGGCCAAGGTGACGGAAGAGTTAGCAGCAGCCACTGCACAGGTCTCCCACCTGCAGCTGAAAATGACTGCTCACCAAAAGAAAGAAACCGAGCTGCAAATGCAGCTGACCGAAAGCCTGAAGGAGACAGACCTCTTCAGGGGCCAGCTCACCAAACTGCAGGCCGAGCTCTCAGGTCAGTCCTGTGTAGAGAGGGCGGGACTCTGACCATTTCCTTCCTCTCAATGCCTTTGGCATAATGCTCATGAAGTTTGTGAAGACTGAGCCAAAAATTAAGGCGGGCCACTATAAACCTACATGACGGTTTGATGAAAGAACAACAAAAGAACTGACTAGGCGTGTAGAATTGATCAGTGGCCACAGTTTCGCTTTGTTTGAGCAAGTGTTGGCCTTCCATATCTTTGGACTTACAGTTGGCCTCGTAGGCCTGGACGTTAGAGTTGCTCTAACTCTTGACAGAGGGAGTTTTGAAAGAGGTGCTTCCTGTACCGGTTGCCTGTTTCCTGGAGAATAGATTGCAGCTCTTTAGCCAGCACTCGGGGCCCCTCCATCTTGGCTTATTTCCCGTTATGCTGCTCAGTTCATCCTGGCTCTACTCCTCAGCACATCTGTAGTTCTTGTCTTGCTTTATATCCATGTTGTTCTCAGGACTTGGTGTGCCCACCCTCGCCAATATTCCCATTCTCCACTCCTCCCAAATTTGCCTCTTTCAGAAGATTTCCTTGTTTTTCCCCTTCAATATTTGATCTTCTTTAAATTTTTTTCCTCATGCATCATTACAGCCATTCTCACATGTTGCCTTTGATCAGCCCTATTTATATACATGTTTTCCCCTCTAGAATGCAAGCCCCTAGAGGGCAAGGGTGGTGTCCTGCTCATAATTGTACAGGCCTTTCTTAAAAATTAGTGTTAATCAGTGCTCAGAGGTGGCACAAAAGTGGTGCTGAAGCCGTGGTGACTTGGATAGAAGATTTGGGAAGACCAGCATGTTGATGCATCCACCTCAGTGCATGGAAACAAATGTGGAAGACTCAGATGGGACCAGTGGGTGGAGCTGAGCAGCAGCAGAGTGGGCAAGAAGCAAACTTCACTGCCTGATAGCTAAAAAAAAAAAACATGTGATGTCAGTTGGTACAGTGACATCTTAAAGATAAATCCCTTTTCTTTTAGAGCATAACCTGGGAGCACATGAGAGATAGGCTTAGACTTAAATGCATACAGATTACCTCAAGAGTTCCATAGGGTCTCAAAATTTTTCTAAACAAAATAAATGAGGTATTACATCTTAAGGAGATATTTCAAATAGCTTTATATTTGAGAAGGCATGTTTTGAAAGCGAACTTTTGGTAGAATATCCCAGCTACCAAGAAACTTGAGAATACCTTTCCCAGCCAGTGAGAAAGGGCTGGACCAATACTAGACAGATCTGTCTAACGTGCTAAGACAGTGACTGCAATGGAATTGTGGGAGTGCTATATTTTTAAGGTGTCCTCTTAACTGCTTGGAACTTTTCCTTTTTGTACGGGTTAGTGGAGAAGTCACTATATGGCTTGTTGAATCCAAGCCATATTCAACAAGCCATATAGTGACTTGTTGGCTTGTTGAATATGGCTTGGATTCAAATATTGCTGGACAGTGAGGGGGTAACTGAAAGGACGGAGGGAAGATGCCTGTGTGGTAGGATTGGGAGATTGCAGCTTTGAAGAAGCTTCTGAGATGCTGTAGAGTATGCTGTGGCTCTGGTTCTGCAGCTAAGTCTCTCTGCTGTTACATCCCAGAGCTCCAAGAATCCTCTGAGCAAGCACAGTCCCGATTCAAAAGTGAAAAGCAAAGCCGGAAGCAACTGGAACTCAAGGTGACAGCGCTGGAGGAAGAGCTGGCTGACCTTCGAGCTGAGAAGGAGTCTCTGGAAAAGGTAAGTTTTACAACTGAACTGTCTCTGCTGAACCCCAGTGGCCAGGATTAGCTGTTTAATACACATTTTTACTTTCCTTTTAAAGATTACAATAGTATTCAAATAAGTCAGAAAGTATTCATTGTTATAGATCCTTGTAACACATAATCTTCATGAACATGATTTATTGTTTCCTTAAGATAAATCATAGTTTGTGGAACTCCTGGGTGTGCATATTTTGAAATCTTTTCACAAGACTGCCAAATCACCACCTAAAATAAATTTTATCTTAAAAAATAAAACTTTTCTTTTTCCCCTGTCTAATCTCATATGTTAGAGGTAGCTATAAACAATGTGTCCTTGTAGGTTGTTTTCTGTGTGTATGAAACACACACACTCACTCACTTATACCTACATATACATTGCTACACTGATAATCATGTTTTAACAATAATGGGATTGTATTTAATGCTTTTTCACAACATTGTGGACTTTGTATTAACGACAGTGTAAACTTTCTCATTCTTTTTAACTGCTACAAGGTGGTACCATGATTTACTTCACTATTCAACTATTAATGGATATTTATGTTTCTATTTCAAGCATTGTTGCTTTGGACATCCTTGTACTATATAACTATTTTTGCAAATTTACTTGAGCATTCCCATAAAATGGATGGTTTGAATTAGAATTGCAGGATCAGAGGAAATGCTACACATCTAAAGTTTTAAAATAAATATTGCCCCGTTATCGGAAAGCAGAGTGGGCTGTCTTACATTTCTAGTACTATGTGCGTAAACCGTTTCTCCATCCCTTTTTCAAATCTGCATATGTCAAGTTTTTCTAATCTTTATAGTCTGATAGATGACACATGCTATCTTGTTTTAACATCTATTTTTGTTAATAGTAAAGCTTTCATATATTTAATACCTAATTGTTTTCTTTAGTATCTTCTTTCTTTTGCCCTTTTTTCTATTATAATATTAGTATGATCTGTAAACACTAGTAAGGGTATTAATCTTTTACCAGTTATAGATGCCACAAATGTTTTTCTAGTTTCTGTTTTTAAACTTTATTTATAGTATCTTTTGTTGTGTTAAAATTTTAATATCAGGATAATTTCAGCCCCATTGAACAAAGTGGGCAAATTTCTGTCTTCTCTATTTTCTGGGATGGTTTAAAATAAAAAGAACAAACTATTTCTGAGGTTTCAGTAAAACCCTCTAGTAAAGAAAACCCTTTTGACCTAATGCCTTTTAGGGGATAAATATTTAGGCTCCATTTTTTAGTTTCTTCTATGATTTTTATCAGTGTGGTGTATGTTTTTTAACCAATTCATTCTGATTTTGTGGCTGTTTTCAGTTTTTCATTGTTATAGATCCTTGTAACACATAGTCTTCATGAACATGATTTATTGTTTCTTTAAGATAAATTACAGTTTGTAGAACTTCTGTGTGTGCATATTTTGAAATCTTTTTACAAGACTGCCAAATCACCACCTAAAGAGAGTATACCCATTTATTTTCTTCCCAACTGGGCATGAAAGTGTCCACTGTTGAGATATTTCCCACCTCTTAATAAAATTATAGTTAAACCTTTTGCTTTCCTCCTTGTTACAATTTTCCTAACCCCCAAATAGCCAAGAATGTTAAATACATAGGGAAAATTAACTAAAAAATGCAGTGTTTTCAGAAATGAAGTAAGGATTCATTGAGGTCAGTCACCACCACCACCATCTCCATTTACCCTCTATTAAATGGCTAGAGCTGATTATGGTTCTCTTGTTCCTAAGAACCTCTCAGAAAGGAAAAAGAAGTCAGCTCAAGAGCGCTGCCAGGCTGAGGAGGAGATGGATGAAATTCGCAAGTCATACCAAGAGGAGTTGGACAAACTTCGACAGCTCTTGAAAAAGACTCGTGTGTCCACAGATCAAGCAGCTTCAGAGCAGGTAATAGGAAATGGCACGTTGGAAATAAAAGGAAGGCATGAAGGGCTCAGAAAAATTTCTAGTTTCTTTATCCTTTATGATGACGTTTCTCATAGTCAGTGCTCTCACTTTGAAGAAAGATAGGCGAACGCAATTTAGATATAGGGGTGGGCAAAAGTAGGTTAAATTACCAGCCATCATCTAAAAGATAAATCATAAGTAAGAATATGAAATAATAATAAGACAAATAATAATAAGCGATACAAGAATAAACTTTTGCCCACCCCTGTATATAAAGAAGAAACAGGAATCGAATAGGCAATCATTCTGTTTTTAAAGCTAAGTGGAAATTTAATTATATAAGTAAAACATGAAAAAAGTCTTTATAAAAAAAACCCAAACAGTTTAAGGTTAAAGTCCTCAATCACCAGATACCATCTTTCGGACACATTGTTATCCTTTAAAACAAGGGGGTTTATTTAGGTAATCAGCCAGGAAAACTGGGGATAGTGGCAGGCCACAGCTGGATCTCCAGTCCATCTGACAGTGACCTTTCTCCCTGTAAGTTCATAAATTCATATTAGTTTGCCCATTTAATTAGAGTGAATTGATACCTCTGGGAATTTTGACAAAATTAAGTTTCTTCTGACCCTACAAAGTCTAGGGCCTAGACCCTGAGAAGATGAGCACATTCCAGTCCTGCCTTCTAGGAACTTGTCTAGACAATCACACCTTTATCTATATATAAAAAGTTCATTTACTGCTCTGCTGGCATGGCTCAGTAGTTAAGCTTTGACCCATGAACTAGGAGGTCACTGTTCAAGTCCTTGTCAGGGTACATGCCCTGTAGGGCATGTGCAGGAGGCAGCCAATTGATGATTCTCATCATTGATGTTTCTCTTTCTCCTCTCTCCCCTTCTCTGAAATCAATAATAAAAAAAAAAAATTTAAGTACATTTACTTTCAAAGTAACCATGGTCTTCCAAACAGTTGTTTCCTGATGAAGCTGGGTTATTAGGTTATTCTTTTGCCTTACAAAAGATGGGCTTCTCTGGATGCAACTGGACCCCCAGGATACAGTGAATACATTTTCTTGGCAGCTGTCTCTAGTACAGGCTGAGCTGCAGACCCAGTGGGAAGCCAAATGTGAACACCTCTTGGCCTCCGCCAAGGATGAACACCTGCAGCAATATCAGGAGGTGTGTGCACAGAGGGATGCCAGCCAGCAGAAGCTGCTCCAGCTGCAGGAAAAGGTAGGCGTTTCCCCCGGGGCCAAACAGCTTAGCCCAGTTATATGAGACAAGCAGGTTGTCTGAGTCTTGTTTCTTTTGATCCTAGAGATGCTAAAAGCTTAAAAACAAAATCACACTTGTTCAACTCTCCACAGTAATATTTCACATTTATTTGGGATGGCAGATGAGTGACCTACTTAAAAGAAAAAGCAGCACTAGTGTTCTAAGCATGTTTTCCATTATTATTTGACCCTTTTGCGAGTATTGAGTACCAGTTGTGTTCCAGACACTGTGGTAGGGAAAGGATTTACAAAGAACTCTGCCCTCTAGAATCTCAGAAAAGAAAGGTGCACAATAGAGTAACAAAGGTGGGCATTAAGCTCTATAAGGCCCAGAGGAAGTGCTCAGGGGAGAAGAGCCAACAAGGCATCCTGGGGACCATCAAGTAGCTTTTGCAAAGTGAAGAGGCAGCATAATATTCTGGGAAAAGGCACTGAGATAGGACGGAGCATGGGTGTGTGGAATCGTCTTGGCATAAAAATGAGAGGGGGAGAGAGCTAGAGAGAGAGAGAGAGAGAGAGGAGATGGCTTAGGGGTCATAGTATGTAAATCCCCATGTCTAGAAATCATTTTCTTTCTTTAAAGTATCCAGTTGAAAATCTTTGACTCACAGATGATGAAGGCAATCTTATAGGTGAATAGGTTGCTTCTGATGTCTATGTCACTAAATTTATAAGCTCCCTTTTTCATTATATTCTTGACCTGATTAGGAACAAGGCAAGTGACCTTGTTGGGAAAGAGGAGGTGAAGTTGTGAGATGAAATTAAGTGATAAGGAAGAAGATGCTTGAGTCAGCAGGCAAGGGGTGGGGGTGGAGGGTGTGGACACCAGCAGATCTACCTGAGGTTGACAATTGATACTTAGGACGGTCCTCCTACTGGGTTTCCTGGCTTTCCCATCTGGTAGTCCAGGTTCCCTAGCCCACAAGCACAGTCTGTTCCTTTTGCAGTGCTTAGCCCTCCAGGCCCAAGTCACAACCCTGACGGAGCAAAATGAACAGCACATCAAGGAAATGGAGAAAAATAAGTCCCAGATGTCTGGGGTTGAAGGTGCTACTGACTCATCAGAGAAGGTGAGCTGGTAATTTGCTATGTCTTACCAAGCATTCAGAAAGAATGTGGCCCATTTGTTGTGTTAACTTTTTTTTTTTTTTTTTTTTTTTTTTTTTTAGCTTTAGTGGTACACCTTTACTAGTATCTGACTTAAGTACAAGTTAGCCCTTTGGAACCTGTCACTTTTGTGGTAAACCCTAAGGGCCCTATCCTGAATTTTTGACAAACACGGGAAGTGCCCCTAAGTCACAGGAGTCGGGAGTATTGCAGCACCCACAAGCCACTAATCCTGGAGCCCACAGAGCTCTAGAGGGCGTCACAGTGGGAGGAAATAATAGATGGTCTGTGGGTGTCTTGGCATAGCTTCCCCATCCTTGATAACTTGTCAAGTGCTGCTTATTGTTTGGCATTTCCCTCTGCATAGTGACTGCCTTAGTCTCTGAGTTCATGACCAGTTGAGTCCTGCTGTAGAGTTTTATGAAAGCTTCATTTTAGCCTTCCAAACCCTCTGGAATTTACATACATTCCTCATCCCTAGATTTGTGCAGCATACATTTTGGTATTGTTTCCTCCCCTCACATCTTCACTCAGGTCAAGAAGATCATGAACCAGGTATTCCAGTCCCTGCGGGGAGAGTTTGAGCTGGAAGAATCGTACGATGGCAGGACCATCCTGGGGACCATCATGAATACCATCAAGGTACAGCCAGCTTTAGATAGCTGCATTGACATGGGGATCTCGTTGCTTAAGGGGTCGTGAATAAACAATGATTCAAGATGGTTCTCCAACAATTCGGACGCCTGGAATGACTTTTGTCTGGACAGATAGGGGCTGCCTCCTGTGGGAGGAAGAAGCAAAGCCATTTGAACTAGATGACCAGTTGTGTCTATAAGGTCTGAGGAACTAGGCGTGTTCATTCCTCTCACTGATAATCTCCTTGGCTTTTGAACAGATGGTGACTCTTCAGCTGTTAAACCAACACGAGCCAGAGACGGGAGAGAGCAGCAATGAAGATGAGGAAGAAGAACAACAACAACCTCGGAGCCTTTCCCAGGAGCAGTCGGTCTCAGCCAGTTCTGAGCCATCTCAAGCACCCCTGAGTAGGGAGAGGCAGGAGTCCCCAGTGGTGCAGACGGAGCAGGTAGTCAAGGAAGCTGACCCACTGCCTCCTCAGGCCCTCCCCACCCCCCAGGAGGATGCACAGAGAAGGCAAGGGAAGTCCACAGAAGCAGAGGTGCTCACAGAGATACAAGATGATTCACTCCCACCTGAACTGGCTTACATCCCCCCTCTAAGATCTCTGGAGCCCCCAACTTCAATTCCCCCTGAGCCTCCGGGTCCTGTAACTGTGGACTCTGAGTGTCAGGAGACGCTTGCTGCCAGCCCATTGGAAAATGCCTGTGTTGGGGAGCAAGAAATCCCCACAAGACTGTCCCTGACTCTAGACCCTAAGGGGGACCCACTGTCCTTGGAGCCTGAAAGTCCAGGAGGAGAGCCTCAGCCTCCAGAGTTCAAGAAAGAGGAAGATGCCATTAGTTCTGCTGGTCCCTCCCAGGAGCTGTCAAGCACAGAAGCAGGCTCTGTAGCTGCAGGGGCAGCGCTTGGACCCAAACACTCTTCTCAGCATTCCAGGTATATCCTTGTGAGCAGAGGTTCAGGGACAAGGTGGCTGCAAGGTTGTCTCTGGTTTTTCCAGAGCTGGCAGAGTTCGTCCCTTAGACTCACTGATGGACTGATTCACTTTTTCATTCATTCATGCATTCATGTATGTTTTCAGTGATGCCTACTATAAAAGGCCCTGTAAGCCCTGTGATTGTGTGGTAGGCAAAGCAGATTTGGTTCCTAAGGTGAGGAACTTACAATCTAGTGGGGACTGTTATGAAAGTATGATAAGTACTAAAAAAAAAAAGAAACAAAAAAAAGAAACTGGGTGTATAATAGGAAATAAAGGGGGCGTTATTCTACTTTAGATGGGATGGTTAGGGATGGATTTTGAGAAGGTAACATTTAAACAGATCTGAAGGAAGGGAAGGGGACTTCCATGCAAGAGTGTGAGGAAGAGATTGCAGAAGGCAAGAACAGCACGTGCAAAGGCTCTGCGGTCGGAGGGGATGTGACACAGGAACTAAAAGAAGGCCCAGTAGTAGGAGAGGGCTGGTAAGCTGATGTTGTAAAACTAGGTAGGGGCCAAGTCATAGGAGATTTTATCACTGTTAGAAGTTTGGACTTTAAGTACGGTGAAAAGTTGTTAAAGGAATTTAAGCAGAAGAGTGACTTGGTCTGACTTATTAGCTTTAAAAGCTCTCTCAGCCTGAAGGTTATGGAGGGAGTTAGAGTGCTAGGAGACCAGTGTGGGCGGAATTCCTGGGTGGTTACCGCAGCTGTTGGGTTCTTACCCCAGAGCCCATGGGCATTGGTCTAGCGCAGGAACAGTTTCTGTGACTTGATTTTCTTGATTTTTTTTTTTCAGTCTCTCCGGGGATGAAGAGGATGAACTATTTAAAGGGGCAACTCTGAAAGTTCCAAAGTCCAAAGCACAGTCTGAAGAGGAGGATGAAGATGAGGTGGTAAGGAGATCCCACACAATGCCGCGTCCTCACACCACTACCCGGGGGCTCTTCCCCACTGGCTCTGAGAAGAGGAGCGGAGTCTGTTGGTGGCCCGCTTCCTGGGCTCTGTGTGCAGGGCCCTGTGGGAGCGGGCTGGGGGCCGGGAGGGGGAAGCTCTGTAAGCATAATGGCGATGGTCAGGTACCACTTTATTCTTGAACAAGGACCACAGTCTGTCTCCATGCAGGAATGGTTTGCACTGTAAGTGAGGAAGGTTGGGCTGATTAGTCCTATATTAGAATGCTACATTCAAGTTTTCTCACATCCGCTAGGATATTATTTATATTTAAGAATTGAAGAGGACTTTGAAGATTGTCATGTCTGGCATCCTTGTTCATAGACAAAAGAGACTGAGGCTCAGACAGATGATTTACTTACCTAATGCCACATTATGACTTAATGGCAGAGCTAGGACTAAACCCTCAAGCCCTTCCTATGACCACCAGTTTCTGAGCATTTTCTGCTTCCTCAGCCCGCTGCCTTGTTGTGTCCTCACAATATTCCTGTGCAGAAAATGGCTGAAGTACTGAGGCACAGATAGCCTCGAGCTACAAAGCTCGCGAGTAGAGGCCAGGAGGGTGAGTTGCTGATGGAGCCTGGTCAGAGCCCCCGGTCCCTGCATCTGCTGTCCCCACTGTGCTGCTAAGGCAGCCGTGCCTGTCCCTGGGACTCTGGGACTGCTGCGTGGGAACTTACTAGAGTGAAACGTGGGTGCGGAGCACAGGTCAGCTTTAGCCTCAGTCTATCCCGGGAACAGTAAATGGGAGGGGGGGGGTAAAATTCTCTCCCCTCGTATACCTGAAAGGGTGGTTTTCCCTTTTGCCAGAACCTTGGGAAAATGGCAGTGACAGAGCTGGGATCCAGCTCCCGAGTATCACATCCCTTTCCTCCTGCCTGCGTTCCTTTAGGAAATGTGCCCCAATTCCTCCCATTAGCCCTTCTTTCCAAGAATTAAGCTTTCATTTGAGAATCCTGAATATAAATTCTGTCCTTTAAAAAAAAAGGAAACAAAATACCAATTGAATATTCCAAGTGACTACCTTAAATATAGTTGGAATATTTTATTATCCCAACTATATTATTAGCAGTATATTATTGATACTAATACTTCTATTAGTGGCAAGTTAACTTTGATTTTCTGGGTATTCTGAAAACTACTTCACAGACATTCTCATTTAATCTTCTAATCCAGTGAGGTTTGCACTTTTATCCCATTTATAGAAAAGAGGACTGAGGTTCAGGGAGATGGCTCTGGGTGATATATATCTGGTAAATATAGAGCCAGAATTTTAGCTGGAACAAAACCGAAACAGTGAGCCACATTTTAATTTATTTATTTATTTATTTATTTATTCGTGAGTGAGTGAGTGAGCCACATTTTAAAACCTTGTACTGTCAGGGTTTGGAGATCACTTGATGCCCAGAGAGGTGGACAAGGTCCATTAGTCGGTGGTGGGGATGGACCTCTGACCCTTTGGCTGGCCCAGTGAAGACAGATTCTGGGTCAGAGTAGTTCACTGGAGCAGAAAGTACCTTGGTAGAGAATACTCTGTGTCTGAATCCCTGCTACCCCCGTACGACCCGTTTCTTGCCAGTGCAGAAGGAAAAGGCCTGGAGGTCAAGTCATGAAAAGTGGGGGGAGTTTCTCCTTACCCCCCTACCTGGTCAGAGAGCTTGAAAGAGGGGCCAGTGAGACCAGGGGAGTGGGAGGCCATGGCCCTATGTTCTAGGCTTGCTTCATCACTTGGGATTCCCCACTTAGTAATATGGCCGAACTCTAAATTCAACTCTCTCGAATGATGGGCCATAGTCAGAGCCAGACAAGGCCACCTGAGGCCACAGCGTCATTTTTTCAAGTGTGATTGCATTCTTGCCAACCTTCCTTCATCCTCCTGCAGCCTCTGCCTTCAGGCTGCTCTGCTCTGTTTTTTTCTCCTGCTCCCATCTTTCCCCTTCAACCTTTTTCTCCACACGAAATACATTGTTACTGCATGAGCGGAAACCTGTCAAATCAATACCTTTGTTTCACAAATAAATGACAAAATTAGCCAAACAAAGTTGGTCTTCTCGTTTCTGTTGAAAGATTTTTCTCCTTTCTCTGCCTGTCTGTCTCAGCTTTACCTGGAAGCCTAGGTGTGCTGGCCTCAGGGTTGGTCCTTTTAGCAAAACCTCTAACAAGCCGTTGACTCACTTCACCTCACACGGGCAGGAAGCCCGGCCCATGCAGGAACACGTGAGCACTGACTCCTTTTTCCTGTTTTGTCAGAGCATGAAGGGACGCCCGCCCCCAACACCCCTTTTTGGAGATGATGATGATGACGATGACATTGACTGGCTGGGATGAAGACCCAGGAAACTGATACAAAGGTTTCTCTACTGAACCGTCCCTAAGCATGATTTTGCACAGCCAGCCCTGTGTCTCGGTGAGCCACAGGGTGAGGTGGAGGTGAGCGTTCTGAGGACAGTACCTCAGATCATCTGAGTTAGCCAACTTCTGAGCCCCCACCTGGCTGGGCGAAGAGGAGTGTGAGCCGTCTTCAGAATGCTGGGGTTGTTGCAGCCGACCTGGTCCTGCCTCGGGGTCCCCTTTGAAGGAAGGGCTGGTTGGCTCCCCTCTAGTCAGTTACCTACAAGAGTCCTGTCCTTGTCCACGCCTTTTGTTCTCTTCACTAACTCAGACTGCTGGGGGGAGGCCTCCATCTGCCTCCCAACACTCAGCTGTGCCCCAGCAATAGGACCGGGCACCCGGGGTGCGGTCTCCCTGGTAAAACCAAGGGTGGGTTACACCTTCTAAACCCCAGTTAACACCTTGCCTGCACTCCTGGCACATTACCTTTCTCTGCCTTAAATCTTTGAAATTTACCAAACAAAAATAAATATATATAATCAAACTTGACTCAAGCTGTTGGGGAGAAACTGAATTTGGTTCTAAGGGCTGTCTGTGCTCCTCTCTGGGACTCTGAGGGTAGGAGTTGTAACAGATCTGGGTCAGTTAATGTGCATGAAACCATTCAGACATATTCCCTTTGGTACCTAACCCTGGGACTTGAGGCTTTCAGAACAATGTCACCCTCCCTGGTCCCTGCTCATCCCAGCTGCATTAAGGCTCGGGGTCTGGTGGCTATCTGAGCACGTCCTGTCATCCACTCGCTCCTGCGTGTTTGGTCCCATCCGGGAAGTCATGCAGAGAAGGTGGGAGGTCCTACATTCCATCCCTCAAGGCCCCTGAGAGACTTCACTTTGAGAGCAGCTTCCATTCATTCCCTCTGAGCTCGGGGCCCAGAGCAATGAAGAAGACAGGAGAAAATAACTTGACTGCTTCAAAGATCTTTCCAAGACCATGTAACTAGTCTTCAAAAAGTAGAATAATTTTACTAAAAATGCCTGATTTTAAATGTTGATAAGACAGGAACCTGAATTCCACTTTACCTGGCCTGACGTCATCCTTTGTTTTTTCCATGGCACCCGATCTCTATTTGTTACACAAACAAAAAAGCATGACTGTTGCCCTAGCCAGGTGGCTCAGTTGTTTGGAGCATCATCCTGTACACCAAAAGGTTGCAGGTTTGGTTCCTGGTCAGGGCACATACCTAGGTTGCAGGTTTGATTCCCGGATGGGGCACATATTGGAGGCAACTGATCGAAGTCTCTTTCTCCCTTCCTCTTTCTCTAAAATCAGTAAACATATCCTTGGGTGAGGACTAAAAAAAAAGAATGTGACCAGGCTGATATTGTGGAGTGCCTGCTCAGAGTTGTCTCCATAGCAGATGGACACTCAGTCCTTAGCCCTACCTGCTCCATTGGCTCACTCCGCTCCTGCAGCTGTTGTAAGCATTACGGGTGCTGTTTGAACAAGGAGAAACAAGAAGAGTCACACACTACTTAAAATATATATATTTATTAAAATGTATTTCTTTTTTAATTCCCAAAGCTTAAGACCATCTTTCATCTAGCCCACAGGGCACCTGCGCATAAACGTTCCAGTACACAGCAGTGCTTCGCTCTCTCTCCCTCAGGGTCTTGTTTCCTTCTCTGTAAAGTGATGAAGTTCCAGTATCTGGAGAGTCCCATCTCACTCTACAAGTCCAATGCTTTGGTTTGACTGCTTATTGCATCTTCAGTCAATCTCCCTTCCCCCCATGCTTACTCAGTATTTTAAGTGAATGAATCGTGCTTGTTATGGGTGATCAGTACATAATAAATAAAAACATTAAGTATTGTTCAGAGCAGTTATCCGTTCTGCATAAAAGAAGGATCGGATAAAAGGGGGCATCAAGGCCATGAGGAGCCCCCAGGCACCTAAAGCCATTGGAGGGTCTTCCTCCTGCTGGTAGTGCAGCCTGATGGGAGGGGCTCCCTCTATCCACAGGAGCCTGGATCGCAGCCCTGCTTCTCTACTTTTATCTACTGCCACTCTCCCCCAGCAGGAAACAGGTCCCAGCAGATGCTGCCATCCATCAAGAATAAAATGAAACCACTTCATTAAAAATTTTGTTTTGTATTAATGTGCAAAATTGCTAACCAAGAGTTCAGTGGGGAAAAGTGAGAAATCTTAGTCTATCAGCATGGCCCGTAGAAGAGACAATCTTCTCGGGTTCCAAAGGCACAAGGGTGAGAAAAGGAGCCAGCTTGGTCTCTGTCCCCCAAAGACAGAGGGGGCCAGGAAGTCCGATGGAAGATGCTCCTCTGGGTAAGGCACAAATCAGGAGAGCAAAGGATATCTGGGTTCCACGTCCTTCACCCAGAACCTACCTCCTTATCTTGAAGATCTTTGGAAATTGTTAAGTTTTGAATCACAGATAAGCCCCTGGGTTCTGTTGTCTCCATCTCCTGCTGGTCACAGCAGCCTTCTAAGGCACAAAGACCAGGCCTGGGCTATCTGAGGAGAGGCGGCTGCACTGGCATCTGAACTCCAGGGAGCGAGTCTTGGCTTCAGCTGGAAGTTTCTACGAGCAGCGAGGACCATCCATCAAAAGCAGGAGGAGGCTTAAGCCTGGAAGTACAATGCCAGCTTTCTCCAGCCCTCAGTGCCTGCGCAGCCCTCGCCAGCTAACCTATGCTGAGTAACGGGTAAGCTAGGTAGTAGCCCACAGCCGAGCCCAGGACCACGCCAAGGAAAATCCAGGTGTTGTAGGACATTACAGCCAGCATTATGAAGTAGCCAATGACCACCTGAGCGATGTGGATTAGAGACTGGCCAAAGTGACACAAGAACCACCTAGATAGAAAGGAGAGGCAAGTTAATGTCAGTAACGAGCTGAAAACCAGGGGCTGGTATCAGGAAGTAGGGAGCTTATTTGTAATTTGGATGCGTAACCCAGGAGAGATTTTTTTTTTTTTTTTTTTTTTTAAAGAGACATATCAGAAACCACTGCTAGAGAGGGATTTGTACAAGGAGTTTGGGACAATCACTTCTCTACTTAGTTCTGAGCTTTCTGGAATCCCGGGCAAAAAGGGAAAAAGATATGTAATCTACTATGTATGATAGCAATAATACAAGGTCATTTTCACCAATATGGCTTTCCCCTCCTCTGAAAAAGGGAGCAGTATTACAATGGTAAGAATTGGGATCCCAAATGGTTGCCCTATGAGGATGGGAAGGACAGTACAGAGGGGCTGCCTGCTCCCCCACCAACGTGGGTACATTGCTGGCAGCAGTTCTTATCATTTATGGGGACAGTTGTGATCCCATCCTGGGTTTGTGAGCCTGAGTGGCCTGAGGGAGCCTAATGAGATGTAGGGGAGGGCTGGTCGGACACCCCTGTTATACCAGAGTTCGGAGCCTCCCAAGTGGCTGTTGATACAGTGAGTTCTGGCTTAAGCAGCTGGAGATCTGGGCTCTAGTTCACTTCACTACTTATTAATAAGCACTCTGACAAGTCCTGGTCCTTCCTGAGGCCTCCATTTCCTTTCTGCTCCTTGGGGTTAATGTCTTCTGGGCCCACCCTACCAGGTGAATGTGGGCATTCTGCCCATTTCCCACACCTGTGCCCTTACCTGAGGGGGGGTATGCTGACCGGGGGTAACTCCGAGCTTGAAGAAGAACTCTGGTCCGTCTCTTCGTTCTGCTGGCTGGTGCAGGCGGGCATGCTCGCCAGGCTCTGGTGGAGTAGCTTGGCTTTGCCAAACTTGATGCTTTCGTACAGCACAGTCAGGAGCAGGATCACCAATGCCGAAAGGGCCATGCCTGTCAAAGGAGGCGGAGTTACAGAGACCTGGGCAGGCAAGCTCTGCTCCCCTTCCCGCGGCTTCCCAGCACCTGTCAGGTGGCAGAAAGCACCTCCACCTGTTCCCTCTCAATCCATTCCATCTCCCTTCTTGCAGCTTCTTCCCCACCCCCGTTGGGCTCAGAGCTTCTGCACTGTCTTTCCCCTTCCAGTCCTTTCTTGGCAGGGCTGGCCCACGGGATTGTGGCTCTGAGATCAGGAAGAGTATTGACCTGAAAAAGGGCCAAGAGGGAAGAAGCCGATACCACCGCCCCAGCTGCTCCCCCAGCAAGCAGCACAAATCTCTCAGGACTTCCCAGTAAGGGAAGAGCAGTTTAGCAAGGTCCTGTTTAAGTGTAGTACACAGAGAAGCCCGGAAGGAAAGATTTACAACAAAGGAGCATAATTATCTCAGCAAATTCAGATATAGCAGGTTCTTATTCTCAAGTAATTTCCCAAAGTTTCTACTTGTGTGTATTCCTTTCACATTAATGGGAAAACCCCCAATAAATTATTTTACCAAAACGTTAAGTGCTTATTAGAGCTGCTGTGTAACATTAATTGCTAATTGCTACTTCTGTTGTACCAGAGGAGGGATACTAAATGGGCCAGCCATAGGACTTTATTGGGCTCCCAGGAGGAAATCATCTCCAAAAGAGGCAGGTTTTTAAAATATAAAATTACAAGTAATTACACACATGGTAATAAATTCAAACGGTGCAAAAAGGATTTGCAGTGAAAAGTAAGTCATCTTCCCCCCTCATGCTCCCAAACTCCAATTCCTCTCCCAGAGCAGCCTGTTAGCAATACCCTGGATAGCCTTCTAGGGATACAAAATACAGGGTGGAGCAAAAGTCAGTTTCCAGTTGTTCGAATGGAAAATCCTGTATAATAAAGAGCTAATATGCTAATTAGACCAAACAGCCGGATGACCTTCCAGACAAAGCCAAGGCTGAGAGGGCCGGCTGAGGATTCGAGGGGCTGTGAGAGCCGAGCCCTTTGCATGAATATTGTGCATCGGGCCTCTAGTAGTACATTAACTAACAAATAATAAAAAGAATAAATTCTGTGTTCTGCGTGCTCACAACTTTAAATCTACCTTCCGTCCCTTCCCTGTAATAGAGGGGGAACTGCAGCCCTGGCCTCTCTCTGGGCCTTTGTAAGGATCGGTGAGAAAATGGAGCCCTTTGCAATCTGAAAGGCAGTGTTTGCAAACAATCAGAAATGCAAAGTTCCCACTCAGTGGTTATGCAAGAGGAGTCAGGTTTATACCAGTAGAGAAACCCAGGTTCTCCACTGCCTGACGCTAAAGGGCTTCCCAACTCTTACCTGCAGGGCTGTGGACATTCCAGAAATCAAACAGAAGCACCACCTTATCCGAGAAGAAGAAATGCGTCTGAAAGAGAAGGGAGTCTGCATCACAGGGGGCTTAGGGCAACGGAAACTGTGGTCCCTCATACTCCCCAGCATTCTCTTCTAAATACCCAGAAAAAAATGGTGTCACTGCATGTAAGTGCTAGGAGGGCCATTGGTCATCAGGGCCAACTGTGGCCAGACAGGGCAAGGACTTGCCCAAGGTCCTGGAGTGGGTCAGCAGCACGGCCATAATTGAGCTGGACCTGCACCAGGTAGAAGTGAGGTGCAGGATGCCCATCCTCACTGGGCCAGACAGGCCACAGTGCTCTCGGATCAGGCTGAGATGTCCCTTCAGGGCCCTCCAAACCCAATGGGAAGCGCTAGTCTGAGGAACAGCTGCTGTTGCTTGCTGCCAGGGCCACCCATTCTGCTCCGCTGGTGTGCATGGTGGAGGGGCCAACGGGCAGCTGTCTTCAATCTGTACTCCACATCTCTTCACTAGCTCCCTGAACATTTGCTGAGCCCAATTCCATGGTCAGCATACGGACAAAGGTTAATGGGTCTGCCCTCCACGAGCTCACAGTCGTGCAGAAACAATGAAGGTAGCAGCAATGAACATGCAGAGGCGCCTGTCTGAATGCTCTTCTCAAAGAGCACCTGGTCCTCCCTCGGTTCCGGGTGGCATCTCTAGGGCTTTTCATACATTATCTCTTTCACAGCAGTTTCTGTGTGACAGAGACAGTTAGACCCACTAAGTTGGCCGAGCTGGGATTCCAGCTCGATCAAGTTGGATGCCAAGCCGGGGTGGATTCCAGTGACCATGCTGCCTGCGCTATGGGCTGGGAGCTGGACGGTGATTCCACGTGGCCACACCAGGCTCAATGACCGTGTTTGGCAAGATGAAAGCCAGATGGGTCAATTAGGTTCATCCTCTCAGGGAAGCAAAGTTCCCCTCTAGTCCAGCCCCCAGGTGAGACCACAGCCAGAAGCAGTAGCTCCGCAAACACATTCAGTGTTCATCCCGCGAAGGAGATCCTGGCTGAGTTGGGCCTGAGCCTTCTAAGACAAGGGCCAAATATTAGAACCCTCAAATGTCAGAGCAGGAGGTGTTCAGAGAGGTTTTTTTTTAAACTGAGATGTAACTGACATATGTTATTATATTATTTTCAGGTATACAGAATGATTCAATATGTGTATGTGTTACAAAATAACACAATATAAGAGTTAACATTCATCACCAACATAGTTAAATTTTTTTTCCTTGTGATGAGAACTTTTAAATCTATTTTATTAATTTTTTCAGAGGTTTTTTTTTTTTTTTTAGTCCTGTGGTTTTCAATGTTGTCCTCACTCCCCACCCCCAGGGAACATTGGCAAATAAAATCTTCTTTATGGTTTGGCTCAGTTCCATTTCCAATCAAAGCACATACCCAGGTTTTGGGCTCAATCCCCAGCAAGGGGGCTTGCAAAAGGCAGCTGATGAATGATATTTTTTTCATCCACGTTCTATCTATCCCTCTCTAAAAATCAACAAAGACATTTTAAAATTTTATTTTTTTATTTATTTCTATTTTTTTAAATGTATTATATTGTATTTTTTTCTTTTTAAAAAATATATTTTATTGATTGTTTACAGAGAGGAAGAGAGAAGGACAGAGAGTCAGAAACACTGATGAGAGAGAAAATATCAACCAGCTGCCTCCTGCACAACCCCCACTGGGGATATGCCCGCAACTAATGTACATGCCCCTGACCAGAATCGAACCTGGGACCCTTCAGTCTGCAGGCCGACGCTCTATCCACTGAGCCAAACCGGTTTCGGCTAAAAATTTATTTTTACAAATCTTCCTTATAACTCCACTATATAAAACACAGAATGTAGAGGAGAGAGGGCTTTGCAGAAAAACACTGATCTGGTCCAACTCTGGCTCCTCGCTGCGCCCATCTCATTTCCAGTTGGGAAAGGGAGTCCCAGGCGGGGGAGGGACTTATTCAGGACCTCATCAGAAGGAAATGGAAGCCTAGGCGGGTTTTTAAAAATTAGGTTGAAGAACTTAAGAATAAAACTAGCTTTTTATCCCGATTTGGAAGTGGTACTTGTTCAATGTAAAAAGCTGAAACAGTACCCAAACGAAAGTAAAAATCATTTTGAGCCCTATGCAGAGATATCCCTTGTTAAGAATTCAAAAAGCATATTTGTTGACATGGCAAACTGTCATATCCTTCTTAAAAGATAAGCAAACATGCACAGGTACAAATAATCCTGTGAAACTCCATTTATGCACTCATTCAATCTAGCCCCAGGCACAGTCCCTGCAGAGGGGGGTGAGGGAGAGGGGAGGAGGTTGCCCGCCTTCTCCTCTGAATTCCCTTGATCTAGGAGTTGGCATGACTGGAATGTCACTGGTGGCTAACCAGTCAAGTTCCCTAGCTGGGTTCCTTCTATCATTCTTGGGCCTGGGCCAGCTCTCTCAGGTACCCCAGAAGGCAAGGCCGGAACACCCACAAAACAGTGAAATTAATTCAACCAACCAACGTTTACTTTTGTAGTGCTAGGGGTACAGGAAAAGGAGAGAGAGGGATGGGTGAGACAAGTCCTTGGCCCTCATGAAGCTATTGGTCTATTGGGACAGAGGGACGTGAACAGGTCGTTACAATGGTGTCTGGAGTCAGCAAGAGGGAGGCATCAGGGAGGCCTTCTAGGGAGTGCTGGGGTCAAAACCCCCCTGGAGACATCGAACCCAGCTAGGGAGGCAGGTGGCTAGACCCGTGGTCGGCAAACTGCGGCTCGAGAGCCACATGCGGCTCTTTGGCCCCTTGAGTGTGGCTCTGCCCCAAAATACCACGGCCTGGGCGAGTCTATTTTGAAGAAGTGGCATTAGAAGTTTAAGTTTATAAAATGTGGCTCTCAAAAGAAACTTCAATCGTTGTACTGTAGATAGTTGGCTCTGCAGACCAATGAGTTTGCCGACTGCTGGGCTAGGACATCTTGGGAAGCAGGAAGAGCAGGAGACAGTCGGGGGAAGACAGACAACCTGGAAGTGCCCACCCAAGGGTCTGGTTCTACCTCACCTGGGAGTGAGGAGCTCAGGAGGGACAAAGCCTCACCCACCGTGGCCTTTTCGCTGCAGAAAAGGTTTCAAAGCAGCATGCCGCGGGCCCTTCAGAGCACTGCGGTCAGACGCACAGGGGAGGGCTCTGATCTCCTAGCCCATGTAGGATGAATCTCAACCTCCTGCAGCTGGGTTTAACTTTTTTTATCTGCGTTGTATTAAGCGCCCCACCCTGAGTAGGGAGAGGCTGTGGTGAAGAGAGCAATCAGAGGACGTTGTTTTGATCTGTGTTTTCTCACTGGGGACTTAGCTACACTTTGAGAAAAGCTCCCTCATTTGTAAACCAAAGAGTTTAAGGGGGACGTTGAGGTCCCTGTCCTGCCTGGGGCTGGCCGGGGAACTTTCCACTGGCCCTTCCCATCTATTTCCCCTTTTAGTGAACGGGCAGGAGGTGGGGGAGGGCCTCTGACTAAATGATCTGTGTTGCCTTCCTGGATCTTAAATTCTACGACCTTCTTCAGGGAGGAAGAAGACTAGATGTTGTTTTTTTGTTTGTTTGTTTTGTCCCCCCCCCCCCCCCCCCCCGCAAAGACCAAAGGGTCTTGCAAGCTGTCATCCTCTCCAGCCCAGGTGAACTCTACCGAGAAAGTTGTCTGAAACGCTATTTCTGCAAGTGTCGGGAGGTTGGCTAGGAGCTGGGTCTGGTTGTTGTGTGTCCCCCCCCCCTTCCCCCGACAACACACACACACACACACACACACACACACACACACACACACACACACTCACACGAATCAGACCACGAACTTGCCAAGACAGGAACCTGACCCAAATGTGCGCCCCGGTCACAGGCTGTAACGCACCGGGCTGCCCGCCTCCTGCGAGCCTTCCCTGGGTCACCCACACGCGCTGCGCCCCGGGCAGGGGCTCCCCGGATTCGCCGGTCCTCACCCGCTGCGCCCCCACCCTCAGCTGCCCCGCAGCCAGCGCTCAACAATCCCCCATTCGGTGGGACTGACACCCCGCAGGAGGAGCACACAAACCCCCAAAGCCACCTCCAGCCCTGCCTCTCGCGCCTCCCCAACCGGGTCCTCGCTGTTGACAGCGCTTCCAACACACCCCCTTCATCAGCCCCCGGCCAGGGCGGCGGGCGCCTCGGGGTGCCGGGCACCGCGGTTCCAGGGGCCCGGCCCCAGCCGCCTCCTTCGCGCCCGCTTCTCCCGGCGGCGCCCGGACTCACCTCCATGGTGAGCGCGCTGCCTGCGCGCCGGGCACGGACCCGCCCGCTCCGGACTCCCCGTCCCGAGTCCCTCGGCAGCTGCGGCGATCGCCGCTAGGGCCCGGCAGTCACGTGGTGGGAGCGAGCCGGGCGCGCGGGCGCCTGGGAGTTGTAGTCCCCACGGCGCACCTCGCTCTGCCCGGCCCAGGGCGCACCTGCGGGCCCGCACCCATCGCCGTCCAGCCCCAGGCCTCCTGCCCGTCCTCCCTCCGCCCCCCCCCCCCCCCAAGCCCTGGCGGCGCCGCGGGCCGCCTCCCGCATTTGTCCCCTTTTACTGTAAAAGGGTCATTGCTCCTTGTAATCAATCAGGTGAAGCTTAACTTGAGTTGAAAACCGGAAAAGTCAACCCTATGGACATAGTAGCAACAAAGGAGAAGTAAATTAAAGAAATTGTTCCCCAGGCTTTGAATGTGGCCATTAAAAAAAAAAAAAAAATTTGACTAGCCAAAAGCAATGCACAATGGTCATTTTAATTTGTATTTCTTTGATTGCTAAGAGAGTACACTATTTTTTTTGTTTTGTTATTTTCATGTTTGTGGGTTGTCTGTCCATTTCATCTTTCCATTGGGGCGGGGGGGGGACGTTTCTGGGGAATGAGGAGCTTGTCACAGCATTTCATTTTAAAATACCTGTGTTCAGTAACCCTTTGCCAGTCGTCCTGTGAGGCAGGGGACTCTTCGGGGAAATCTCAGCAGAAACAGTCCTGGCCCACCTTGAGCCTGGAGTGTGAGCTCTCTCGCTTCAAATCCTGAGCCAGCAGATGTTGGCACTTGAGCCTCAGTTTCCTGGTCGGTAAAATGGACACAACAGAATCAATGTCGTAGGGATTGTTAAGGCTCAAATGAAGACTCTGTGTTAAATTCTCGGTGCCCAGGAAGGCCAGGACCGCATGGGGTGCCCTGAATCCCCTCGGTGCTTGGGGACTATTTCTGGGGCAAGAACCTGACCGTTCCTCGGTATTAGCTGGAGCAGAGAATAAAGAGGACCTCCGTGCCAGACGGGAAGGCTCTGTGGCTGGTCTCTAGGTCTGACCTTCTGGAGCTACTGACCCACGGGCGGGCTTCTGGGACAGGAAGCTGCTGAAGCTGGAAGGCCCCCCAGACTCTGGGAGAGACTGACCTGCAGCGCCCCTTTGGCCTGGGCCTTGGCTGGCCTGCGGGTCAGGGTGGAATCCAGCCCAACCGGTCCAGCCCAACCAGGCATTGGATGAACTCTTGCATCACCGCCATGGCCAGGGCTGGGGTCGGGATGACACAGGGGGCTCAGAGGCCTGGCTCTCTACAGACACGGACTTCTCCTCCCCTTGATCCCAGGTCCTTGTCGCACCCTGCAGGAGGCAGCCAATCGGTGTTTTTCTCTCAGACACAGCCATGTTTCTCTCTCTGTGTGTCTCTCCTCCTCCCTTCCACTCTAAACATCAGTGGGAAAATATCCTCAGGTGAGGATTAATAAGAACAACAATAACAAAAAAAACCACACACACAACTTGGCAAAACAATGGAACGCCTTTATTATACATAATCTGTCAGTCATCGCCAAGATGGCTGCCATCAGCAAGGCCAGGGGGCACTTTGGACTCCTTCAAGGAACCTCAACAGAAGCTTCCGGGCATTTACCGATTTGTCTTCCAAGGGAACAGGCTGCTTGCTTTTGTTCTGAAATAAAATCTTTCAAGCATGGAGAGGGGGCACCAAGCATGGACTGTCGGTCGGGTGGAGGAAAAGGCAGGCTGGACAGCCGGATCACTGACCAGCCTGGAGTTACTGAGTTCCCACCTCCGGGGCCACCGCTGCTGCTCTTGCTCCAGGCGGTTCCAATGCCGCCTCTGAGTCTGGCTCCTGAGATAGAAGAGCAGACGTTGTTTGGACCTTAGAGCCTTTGGGCACAATCATGGACGACTCTGAAGAGCTGACTTTAAGAATAAATGCCCTCAGAAGGCTGCCGGCATAGTAGTTCCATGGTTTCCCTTTTCTAGGTGATTTGAATCAGCCCATCAAAGGCCAAAAATAACGCTGTGGACTTCAGGGGGAAGTTTGCTCCACACTTGCATAGAAGAGGAACAGAAAAGCCTGCTTGCTCTGTCCAAGAGCAAGATGAGGCCATTCCGGTTTGAGGGGTTTCTCCTTGGCACTGAGTTGATTCATTTCTGTACAGGGAGTGGGATTATTTGTTAAAATTACATACGTAACAGCCCTAACCATTTTTGCTCAGTGGATAGAGCATCGGCCTGCAGACTGAAAGGTCCTAGGTTCGATTCCAGTTTGGGGCATGTATTGTACCTTGACTGCGGGCACATCCCCAGTGGGAGGTGTGCAGGATGCAGCTGATTGATGTTTCTCATCGATGTTTCTGGCTCTCTATCCCTCTTCCTTCCTCTCTGTAAAAAAAAATCAATAAAATATATTTTTTTACAATTATATACCAAAGTCCTGGCTAGTGTTGCTCAGAGGTTAGAGGGTCAACCCATGCACCAAAGGGTTGCAGGTTTGATTCTGGGTCAAGAGGAACATGTACCTAAGTTGCAGGTTTGATGCCCCGCACAGGTTGATAGGTTGTGCATGTGTGGGAGGGAGGCAACCAATCAATGTGTCTCTCTTCTCTCTCTCTCTCTCTCTCTCTCTCTCTCTCTCTCTCTCTCTCTCTCTCTCTCTCTCTCTCTCCTTTCCCCCTCTAGCCTTCTCTTCCACTCCCTCCAAAAAGCAATAGAAAAAATATTCTCGGGTGAGGATTAACAAAACAAAACAAAGCATTACATACATACCAAAAAAAGTAAATTGCAAAAGAAAATTAGATCAGAAGCAAATAAGTTTGGACCAATACTGCTGATAAAATGCAAATGGCTAAGAGACGTGTTAAAATGCAATGTCAAGTTCTCTGTTAGATCTTTCTTAAATGCTGTCTCTTTCCTGCTCTGAGCAGCTGCTCCGTGGCTGGCAAAGGGCGACCTGAAACCACCTGACTTGGTCCCTATTCCCCACGTCTCCCTTACACCCTTTAAGGGAGAGGCAGAGCAAGCTCCAGAGCCCAGGCGTCGGTGGTCAAGAAAATGTTAAATCTTGCGCTGCAAATCTCTGATGATTTAATCAGTAAAGTAATTAATTTCCAGTGTGGGGGGGGGGGAGAACTTCATTGAAAATTTAAAAAAAAAAATAAAAATAATTTCCCAGCAACGTACCTGGCAGTGGGAGCCATTGTCATCATTAGCGGCAAATATGTTCATTCTGTGAGAGGAGAGGGGCCGCTTGCTCAGGTCCCACACAGTCTGAGAGCCTCAGGCTGAAAGCTGTGTGGCTTGGAGGGAAGTCACAGCCTGGGGAAGTCCCAGGAGAAGGCGACAGAGGTCTGGACGGGAGGCCTGCCGCTGCTGGGACATGCTCAGCAGGGCGGAGGCAACGGGAAGAGGGTTATGGGTTTCTTGAGGCATCTGGGCCCCAAGAGCTGGGGAGGGACTTGGTGATCTGGGTGTAAATTGTCACGCTTCTCCTGGGAAGTAGGTGTAAGAAGATTTGACCTTCACACACGCAGGTTCCCATACACTCACCAAACCCCCATTTCTGGCGGAAGGATTTGCATCACAGCTTTATTCATTCCATTGTTTTTGTTGGCTTTGTCACAATCTGATGACCTTCACACTCAGTTCTGACTTCCTCGGGCATGTGGTGGTTTTTAATAATTAGCCCTAACGTGCGAAAGGGCCCCAGTTCTTTCTGAGCCACCGGAGACGCCCCTGGCCTGGCTCCCGCCACCAGCCAAGCCCGGTCCAGGGCAGGAGGGTCTCTCTGGGTTTTGTATTTGGACAGCGCTTCTCCCAGGAACAACGGAGAGTCAGCACTTGTCCCTCCGTCACACACCCGGAACCCCCACCTCCTGCCCCGAGACCACAGGCAGGAGAGAGGGTGCTGCACCGAGTGTGGCAGAAATGGGCAAGGGGCCCTTTAACTGGGGCACTCAGCTCACTCGTGGTCAGCGGGTGGACAGAAAATCCAAATAGTCATTTCTCCTTCTGAGGCACACGGTAGAGGAACTTGAAGTCTCGTGAAAAGACCACATGCATGAAATGCTACTCCTGCAGAATATCTGACCTCGATGTACCAATAAGGCCGTGTGACCCCAAGAACCCCACTATCCTTCTCTGGGCCACTGTGAAGGGTTTCCGGAATGGATGACTTCATACACACACACACACACACACACACACACACACACACACGAGGAAGGGAGAGAGGGAGAGGGAGAGGAAGAGAGAGAGGGAGAGGGAGAGGGAGAGGGAGAGGGAGAGGGAGAGGGAGAGGGAGAGGGAAAGGGAGAGGGAGAGGGAGAGGGAGAGGGAGAGAGAGGAAAAGGGAGAGGGAGAGAGGAAGAGGGAGAGGGAGAGAGGAAGAGGAAGAGGGAGAGAGGAAGAGGCAGAGGGAGGGGGGAGAGAGGGAGAGGGAGGGGGGAGAGAGGGAGAGAGAGAGAAACATCAACAATGAGAGAGAATCATTGGTTGGCTGCCTCCTGCACGCCCCCTTCTGGGGATTGAGCCCCCAACCAGGCATATGCCCTTGACCTTGACTGGAATCCAACCCGGGACCCTTCAGTCTGCAGGCCAACACTTTATCCACTGAGCCAGTCCAGCCAGAGCTGGATGACTCCTACCTGCCCCTTTCCATGCCATAGATCTGCAGTTATAAGTGAGCTTGAGGTTGGAGTCGAACGCTCATGGCTAAGACTTCTGCATGTTTTCCATGCAGCTCCATTCAGTCGACCGCCCAGTTCTCCCACACACCTCGCTGGTCTGACAGTAATGCTGTGAGAGCATTGTGCACCTGCTGAGTGTGTGTATCACAGGATGTGTGCACATTTGAGGTTGGTCGGTGTGGAGGCAGAGCAGAGAGTATGCAGTGGGCTTTGTGCTGGTGAGGCTGGCGAGAGCAGGACCAGGCCGTGAACGACCCCAAAGCCATGTGCAGGTACCCTCTACCGCA